CGGACACTTCACTTCGTGGCCTGCGGACGACCGTGGCTACTACACTGGCGCATGGGTACAGTGACTTGTTGTGGTAACATTTTCTGGACGCTAGCTTAGTATACGACTTTTCCCCCTGTTCCAACACTGGACACCTGTGGTTTTTGAAGATTTCGGCGTGCGCGCGCGAAGAAAAAACGAATGTGTCCCGCATGGTATTATTTGACAGGGATGATGGCCCTGGCAGGTGCGCAACCGTTGTTGCAGAAGTTCGAAAAAGTTGCTCGCAAAAGCCCGTTTGACAGAAATGTTTAAAAAGTGTTGGGTTTCCTACGAATCCGCAAGAGCGCGCGGGATGAAATTTTGACAATTTTTTGTTGAAAAACCATTGGTTTTTTTGATGTTTTTATGTTAAAATCGCTACGAACACTAAGGTTTTGGAAGGATTTCGTCTTGCGCGCGCGAATGTCCACTTTACCTAATTTTTTGCAAGGGATTCTTGAAGTTTGGTTATGTTAGAACAAGAAATGTCATTTTATATTGTTTTTTGCAAGGGAAAGCGGGGGGGAACAAAACAACCGGATCTGGATCACATCGTTTTGTCAAGGGCTTTCGCTCGAAAATTATGAAAACATGGCTGCGGCCTAGGCGCGGCGAGGGGGCCGTGCACCAGGGGCCCCAACAATAATTATTCTTTAGAAGTAATAATGTTCAACAACAACAACAACAACAACAACGCTCCCGCTCGAGACTTCCTCGTTTTTTACTCAAGGCTGGTGCTCTTGCTTGCCGACGATAGCCGCCGTCCCAACAAAACCAGCGCTACTGCTCGAGACTTCCTCCCGTTTTACATTGGACTGGCGCGCTAGTTTCTCTCATCGGCGCCGCTCCCGCTCGAGACTTCTTCCCTTTTTCCCAACCAACCTGTGTTGTTGGGTCCTCGTTTTGAAGAGACGGTGCCCGCGTCCTCTCCTCTCCTCCTCTCCTCCTCTCCTCCTCCTCCCCCTCCTCCTCCCTCCTCCTCCCTCTCCTCCCTCCTCTCTGCGTTTCACCCACCCATTACAGCGCTTCGTGGCTCCATAGGGAGCTCCACCGAAGGCCCCAGTGGGGGTGTTCGCATGCGGTTCCCCCACCCAGGGCAGCGTTTCGTGGCCCCATAGGGAGCTCCACCGAAGGCCCCAGTGGGGGTGTTCGCATGCGGTTCCCCCACCCAGGGCAGCGTTTCGTGGCCCCATAGGGAGCTCCACCGAAGGCCCCAGTGGGGGTGTTCGCATGCGGTTCCCCCACCCAGGGCAGCGTTTCGTAGCCCCATAGGGAGCTCCACCGAAGGCCCCAGTGGGAGTGTTCGCATGCGGTTCCCCCACACAGGGCAGCGTTTCGTGGCCCCATAGGGAGCTCCACCGAAGGCTCCAGTGGGGGTGTTCGCATGCGGTTCCCCCACCCAGGGCAGCGTTTCGTAGCCCCATAGGGAGCTCCACCGAAGGCCCCAGTGGGGGTGTTCGCATGCGGTTCCCCCACCCAGGGCAGCGTTTCGTGGCCCCATAGGGAGCTCCACCGAAGGCCCCAGTGGGTGTGTTCGCATGCGGTTCCCCCACCCAGGGCAGCGTTTCGTGGCCCCATAGGGAGCTCCACCGAAGGCCCCAGTGGGGGTGTTCGCATGCGGTTCCCCTACCCAGGGCAGCGTTTCGTGGCCCCATAGGGAGCTCCACCGAAGGCCCCAGTGGGGGTGTTCGCATGCGGTTCCCCCACCCAGGGCAGCGTTTTGTAGCCCCATAGGGAGCTCCACCGAAGGCCCCAGTGGGGGTGTTTGCATGCGGTTCCCCCACCCAGGGCAGCCAGCCGGTTTCGTAGCTCCCTAATAGCGAAGCTCACCGAAAGGCCCCAGACGAAAGGCCCCAGTTGGGGTGTTGCATGCGGTTCCCCCACCCAGGGCAGCGTTTCGTAGCCCCATAGGGAGCTCCACCGAAGGCCCCAGTGGGGGTGTTTGCATGCGGTTCCCCCACCCAGGGCAGCGTTTCGTGGCCCCATAGGGAGCTCCACCGAAGGCCCCAGTGGGGGTGTTCGCATGCGGTTCCCCCACCAAGGGCAGCGTTTCGTAGCCCCATAGGGAGCTCCACCGAAGGCCCCAGTGGGGGTGTTCGCATGCGGTTCCCCAACCCAGGGCAGCGTTTCGTGGCCCCATAGGGAGCTCCACCGAAGGCCCCAGTGGGGGTGTTCGCATGCGGTTCCCCCAACCAGGGCAGCGTTTCGTAGGCCCATAGGGAGCTCCACCGAAGGCCCCAGTGGGGGTGTTCGCATGCGGTTCCCCCACCCAGGGCAGCGTTTCGTGGCCCCATAGGGAGCTCCACCGAAGGCCCCAGTGGGGGTGTTCGATGCGGTTCCCCCACCCAGGGCAGCGTTTCGTAGCCCCATAGGGAGCTCCACCGAAGGCCCCAGTGGGGGTGTTCGCATGCGGTTCCCCCACCCAGGGCAGCGTTTCGTGGCCCCATAGGGAGCTCCACCGAAGGCCCCAGTGGGGGTGTTCGCATGCGGTTCCCCCACCCCGGGCAGCGTTTCGTGGCCCCATAGGGAGCTCCACCGAAGGCCCCAGTGGGGGTGTTCGCATGCGGTTCCCCCACCCAGGGCAGCGTTTCGTGGCCCCATAGGGAGCTCCACCGAAGGCCCAGTGGGGTGTTCGGCATTGCGGTTCCCCCCACCCAGGGCAGCGCTTCGTGGCCCCATAGGGAGCTCCAACGAAGGCCCCAGTCTGTGGGGGTTCGCATGCGCGTTCCACCACCCAGCGCAGGCAGGCGGCAGCGTTTCGTCGGCCCCATAGGGGCTCCACCGAAGGCCCCAGTTCTGGGGTGTTCGCCATGCGGTTTCCCCCACCCAGGCAGCGGTCGTGTGGCCCCATAGGGAAGCTCCACGAAGGCCCCAGTGGGGGTGTTCGCAATGCCTCGGTCCCACCAAGGGCAGCGTTTCGTAGCCCCATAGGGAGCTCCACCGAAGGCCCCAGTGGGGGTGTTCGCATGCGGTTCCCCCACCCAGGGCAGCGTTTCGTGGCCCCATAGGGAGCTCCACCGAAGGCCCCAGTGGGGGTGTTCGCATGCGGTTCCACCACCCAGGGCAGCGTTTCGTGGCCCCATAGGGAGCTCCACCGAAGGCCCCAGTGGGGGTGTTCGCATGCGGTTCCCCCACCCAGGGCAGCGTTTCGTAGCCCCATAGGGAGCTCCACCGAAGGCCCCAGTGGGGGTGTTCGCATGCGGTTCCCCCACCCAGGGCAGCGTTTCGTGGCCCCATAGGGAGCTCCACCGAAGGCCCCAGTGGGGGTGTTCGCATGCGGTTCCCCCACCCAGGGCAGCGTTTCGTGGCCCCATAGGGAGCTCCACCGAAGGCCCCAGTGGGGGTGTCTCGCATGCGGTTCCCCCACCCAGGGCAGCGTTTCGTAGCCCCATAGGGAGCTCCACCGAAGGCCCCAGTGGGGGTGTTCGCATGCGGTTCCCCCACCCAGGGCAGCGCTTCGTGGCCCCATAGGGAGCTCCACCGAAGGCCCCCAGTGGCGCAGTTCGCATGCGCTTCCCCCACCCAGGGCAGCGTTTCGTGGCACCATAGGGAGCTCCACCGAAGGCCCCAGTGGCGCAGTTCGCATGCGGTTCCCCCACCCAGGGCAGCGTTTCGTAGCCCCATAGGGAGCTCCACCGAAGGCCCGCCCCGGTGGCGCAGTCCGCATGCGGTTCCCCCATCCAAGGCAGCGTTTCGTAGCCCCATATGGAGCCCCACCGAAAGCGGCACCCACAACGCGTTACCAACAATTGCTTATGGTTGGGTCTTTCGCCAGGATAATTTCTCAAGGCGGTGCTCCTCCTCGCCGCCGAAAGCCAGCGTCCCGACAAAACCAGCACTCCCGCCCGATAGTTTCTCCTGTTTTACGCTGGACTGGAGCCCTACTCTCTTTTGAATTGGTGCCGCAGCAAGAACGACGCTCCCGCGCCAGACTTCCTCCCAATTTCCTCAGGACGTTGCTGTGCCTCGCCGCAAAACCCCGTCCCGACAAAACCAGGGCTCCCGCTCGAGACTTCCTCCCTTCTTACTCAAGGCGGTGTTCCTCCTCGCCGCCGACAACCGCCGTCCCAACAAAACCAGCGCTCCCGCTCGAGACTTCGTTTTGTTTTACGTTGGACTAGCGCCCTACTCTCTTCAGCATTTGCGCCGCTCCCAGCAATAACAACGGCTCTGCTTGAGACTTCCTCCCTTTCTGTTCAGGGCCAGGTCCTTGCCTCGCCGCCGACAGCCCCCATCTCCACCAAGGCAATCCTGTCGCTCGATACTTCCTTGTGTTTTAAACTTGGCTGGGGCTCCACTGGCGGTCTCGCATCGGCGCAGCAAGGCGCGGGCATGCGTTTTCGAGGCGGGATATGTTGAAATTCCTCGGAGGAGGTGTTTGGAAGACCTCATTTGGCGGGAGATCTGCGAATGGGAATAGCATTTGTTCTGTATGTTCTTCCCCGAAGGTCGCCCTGCTCTATCCGCGATGCGGCACGATCCTCCGACCCCATCTGCTCGGACCCCATCTGGGAGCCTAGATCGGGGATTGGGGAGGTCTGGGGAGGAGGAGAAGGAGGGGGAGGCAGAGAAGGAGGAGGCGGAGGAGGAGGAGCTCATTGCCTGGCCTGTCTGCACAGACCTACGACCTTCATTTGCCGCCAAGGTGACCTAAGTCGGCTAGCGTCCTGTTTTGTTCCACGCAAGGACGTTGCATGCAGTGTTCCTGAAGTTTGCCCAACATCAGAAAGGAGGATGAGGAGGAGGATGGAGCAGGAGGAGCAGGAGGATGGTGGAGGAGGGAGGAGGAGGGAGGTGGAAGAGGGGGGAGGAGGAGGGATGAGGAGGAGGGATGAGGAGGAGGAGCAGGAGGATGGTGGAGGGGGGGAGGAGGCGGAGGGAGGAGGAGGATGGCGGAGTATGGCGGCGGAAGGCCCCGACTGCCCCTCTGCCCAGCACCACCCGAGGCCGCCGGGCCCCCGCCCCGCCCTGGCGCCGACCACCGCCAGGCAGAGCGCCACGGCCACCGCGGTGCAGCACGCCTCCCGGGCCGCCGCGGGGGCCGGGCGGCCGCCACGCTCCGGCCACCGCGGGCCGGCCGGGCCGGCCGGGCTGGGGACTGCCAGGGGTAAGCACCTGGCACTCAGACGAAGCCAGGGCGAGGGACAAAGCGAGAATCTCTGAGATACGGCGGTTCTGGAGGAAGTCTCGGGCGCCGCGGCCTTATCAGAGCGTCCTGGAACGCTCTATGAGCCTTCCGGAATGCTCTGGAACGAATTTATCTCGTTTCGGCCCCCTTCGAGCCATCCCCATACCTCCAACGTTGAGAGGCAACTCCTGGAAAGCCTTCGTCAGAACGATTGAGTGCTACGAAGCCCGATCACGGGGCCACTGAGCCAGATCGGGCCACATGAGGCCCCAGATAGGACTGGATTGAGCGGGCCTGAGCAAGGCTTATCGGGATTGAGCTGGAGGAAGCGGGATCTGAAATCAGACCGCTCGATTCTGAATCTGGCCTTCAAGGAGTTGCCTCGGAACCAGCGTACTGAACAAATCTCAAGGCAGAAATGTTCCCCCAGCTTCTCCATGTCGATGAACTAAGATTGAAGAGTAATTCTCTAGTGGGCCCCTCGCAAAGCCTCAGGACCAGCACAAGACGGCGTGGAGTGAAAAACTAGCCCCTGGGGAGCGGACCAGGACATCCAGGTCCTCGCGGTCTGTGAGCGTCTTCGGCCTCCGCCGGCCCCTGGTCGGCCCCCACAGGGGCCAGAGAGAGAGAGAGAGAGACGGCTCGGGATGAGAAAACTGTCCCAGTGAGAGCGGCCAACCTTTTTTGTCGGCGGCTAGGAAGGGTTCGCCTGCGCTGGCGGAAAGAACCACCCAACCGGGGGCGCCGCTGTAGTGAGATGGAGCGCCAGCAAGAGAGGGAACACAGGACAGAGCGGGCGGCCGCAGGGAAGAGGAAGGGCGAGGGCCACTCAGGGACACACAAATAAATACACACACTTAAATCCCAGGATTCCCCAATGGTTTTGCATATTTTTTGGGATGTTCGTTTTCCCCACTTCCTATATTTTCCTATATTTTATGGGGGGGGGGCGACGATTAGTTGTGTCTGCGCTTTTCTCTCTGAAGAAAAATTATAGCCGGAGTGCAGTATCCCCAAACAGGTGTTTTAGACCCACTGCGGTTTCCAAGGTCGATTGCGTGCCTGTCCAGTGCGGGCTGGCATGGCATGTTAAAACATGTCTCCTCCTCCTCCTCCTCCTCCTCCTCCTCCTGCTCCTCCTCCTCCTCCTCCTCCTCCTCCTCCACCTCCTCTTCATCCCGAACGGCATCTCGGAGCCCAGAGTTGCGAGGATGTCTCCAGCGTAACGGGCTGGACCACCTCGCGCGCGGCATTTGGGACCCCAGATTGCGACGATGTCTCGGGCGAAACCTGCTGCGAGGAAGTCTCAGGCGAAACGGGCCGGACCACCTCGAGCGCGGCGTCTCAGAGCTCCGAGTTGCGGGGGCCTCCTGGGGCCTCCTGGGGCCTCCTGGTGACCTCCTGGGGCTTCCTTCTGGGCCTCCTGTGGCCTCCTGGACCCCACCTGGGGCTTCCTGAAGCCTCTTGGGGCTCCCAGGGGGGGATATCTAACATGTGACCGTCGGGGCCCCCCAAAATGCGGGGGGGGGGGGGACAAGAGCAGGAAAAATCAACGAATCGACACTGGAAGTGTATTAACTGGACACGTTCTGGTAGGGGGCCTCCTGGGGCCTCCTGGGAGCCTCCTGGGAATCTCGTGGGGATCCCTGGGGCCTGTCCTGGGCATCCTGCGGCCTCCTGAAGCTCTCTGGGGCCTCCTGGGAGCCACTGTGGTCTTCTGGGCCCCCAGGCTGGACCACTTCTTGCGCGGCATCTGGGAGCTCAGAATTGCGAGAATGTCTTGTGCGAAACGGGCCGGACCACCGTGCGCACGGCATCTCAGAGCTCAGAGTTGCGAGGATGTCTCAGGCGAGATGGGCCGGACCACCTCGCGCAGGGCATCTCGGAGCCCAGAGTTGCAAGGATGTCTCCACCGTGACGGGCTGGACCACCTCGCGCGCGGCATTTGGGACCCCAGAGTTGCGACGATGTCTCGGGCGAAACCTGCTGCGAGGAAGTCTCAGGCGAAACGGGCCGGACCACCTCGAGCGTGGCGTCTCAGAGCTCCGAGTTGCGGGGGCCTCCTGGGGCCTCCTGGGACCTCCCGGTGACCTCCTGGGGCTTCCTCCTGGGCCTCCTGTGGCCTCCTGGACCCCACCTGGGGCTTCCTGAAGCCTCTTGGGGCTCCCAGGGGGGGATATCTAACATGTGGTCGTCGGAGCCCCCCAAAATGGAGGAGGGGGGCCACAAGAGCAGGAAAAATCAACGAATCGACACCGGATGTGTTTTAACTGGACACGTTCTGATAGGGGGCCTCCTGGGGCCTCCTGGGAGAATCTTCTGCGGACCCCTGGGGCCTGTCCTGGGCGTCCTGCGGCTTCCTAAAGCTCTCTGGGGCCTCCTGGGGCTCCCAGGGTCCCAGGGGGGATATGTAACATGTGGTCTTCTGGGCCCCCAGGCTGGACCACCTCATGCGCAGCATCTGAGAGCTCAGAAATGCAAGAATATCTTGTGCGAAACAGGCCGGACCACCTTGCGCACGGCATCTCAGAGCTCAGAGTTGCGTGGATGTCTCAGGCGAGATGGGCGGGACCACCTGGCGCAGGGCATCTCGGAGCCCAGAGTTGCGAGGATGATTCCAGGCGAAACGGGCTGGACCACCTCGCGCGCGGCATCTCGGACCCCAGAGTTGCGACGATGTCTCGGGCGAAACGTGCTGCGAGGAAGTCTCAAGCGAAACGGGCCGGACCACCTCGAGCGCAGCGTTTCAGAGCTCCGAGTTGCGGGGGCCTCCTGGGGCCTCCTGGGGCCTCCTGGTGACCTCCTGGGGCTTCCTCCTGGGCCTCCTGTGGCCTCCTGGACCCCACCTGGGGCTTCCTGAAGCTTCTTGGGGCTCCCAGGGGGATATCTAACATGTAGCCGTCGGAGCCCCCCAAAATGGGGGAGGGGGGCCACAAGAGCAGTAAAAATCAACGAATCGACACCGGATGTGTTTTGACTGGACACGTTCTGATAGGGGGCCTCCTGGGGCCTCCTGGGAGCCTCCTGGGAATCTCCTGCGGACCCCTGGGGCCTGTCCTGAGCGTCCTGCGGCTTCCTGAAGCTCTCTGGGGCCTCCTGGGGCTCCCAGGGAGGATATGTAACATGTGGTCTTCTGGGCCCCCAGGCTGGACCACTTCTTGCGCGGCATCTGGGAGCTCAGAATTGCGAGCATGTCTTGTGCGAAACGGGCCGGACCAACTTGCGCACGGCATCTCTGAGCTCAGAGTTGCAAGGATGTCACAGGCGAGACGGGCCGGTGTCTCGGGCGAAACGCGCTGCGAGGAAGTCTCAGGCGAAGCGGGCCGGACCACCTCGAGCGTGCGTCTCAGAGCTTCGAGTTGCGGGGGCCTCCTGGTACCTCCTGGTTCCTCCTGGGGACCTCCTGGGGCTTCCTCCTGGGCCTCCTGTGGCCTCCTGAACTCCACCTGGGGTTTCCTGAAGCCTCTTGGGGCTCCCAGGAGGGATATCTAAGCTGTGGCCGCTCGGGCCTCTCAAAATGGAGGGGGGGGCACAAGAGCAGGAAAAATCAACGAATCGACACCAGATGTGTATTAACTTGACACGTTCTGATATCAGGGGGCCTCCTGGGGCTTCCTGGGAGCCTCCTGGGAATCTCCTTGGGACCCCTGGGGCCTGTCCTGGGCGTCCTGCGGCCTCCTGGAGCTCTCTGGGGCCTCCTGGGGCTCCCAGGGAGGATATGTAACATGTGGTCTTCTGGGCCCCCAGGCTGGACCACCTCTTGCGCGGCATCTGGGAGCTCAGAGTTGCGAGAATGTCTTGTGCGAAACAGGCCGGACCACCTTGCGCACGGCATCTCAGAGCTCAGAGTTGCGAGGATGTCTCGGGCGAGACGGGCCGGACCACCTCGCGCAGGGCATCTCAGCGCTCAGAAGTTCGAGGATGTCCCAGGCGGGCTCCCAGGGTCCCAGGGAGGATATGTAACATGTAGTCTTCTGGGCCCCCAGGCTGGACCACCTCTTGCGCGGCATCTGGGAGCTCAGAGTTGCGAGAATGTCTTGTGCGAAACAGGCCGGACCACCTTGCGCACGGCACCTCGGGGCTCAGAGATGCGACGATGTCTCAGGCGAAACGGGCTGGACCACCTCGTGCAGGGCATCTCAGAGCTCAGAGTTTCGAGGATGTCTCAAGCGAAACGGCCCCGACCACCTCTCGCACGGCACCTCGGGGCTCAGAGTTTCGAGGATGTCTCAAGCGAAACGGCCCGGACCACCTCTCGCGCGGCGTCCCGGAGCGCAACTTTTCGAGAATGTCTCAGACGAAACGGCCAATCCCGGCCAACTCAGAAACGAGAGTTATGAGGATGTCTCAAGCGAAACGGCCCGGACCATCAAATTTTTGTGAGGATGTCTCTGCTCCGACTTCCCTCGGCCGGAGTTAGCTTCTATCACAACAGCACCCCGTTCAGCAAGCTGTTTGGGGAAAAAAATACTGTTTGGGGAACCCTGCCACGGAGCCCAGAGTTGCGAGGATGTCCCAGGTCGCACCTGGTCGACGAGTAAGCTGTCGGGTCGGCACTGTGAGAGGCTCCACCGCCATGCTGTGAACTCAGAAGCCACTTTAAGAGGAAGCGGGGGAGGGCGCGGAAGCGGGTGGGCATGTCGTGATGGTTCCCTCGGGGATGATATCGAGAGGTAAGCGGCGCACGTCTGAAAAGAAACATCGTGACGTCGGATGTCCGGGGAGGGCGGAAGGCAGTACGCGCATGACGGATGCTGAGGCGGCAGAAACGACGACGGCGGGGACGGGGAAGCGGAGGCAGAGGCGCAGCAGCGGGAGGCGGGAGGCGGGAGGAGGGAGGAGGGAAGAGGAACCAGGCGGGAAGTAGGAAGAGGGAGGCGGGAGAAGGAATGAGAGAGGTTGTGATTGGAGCTCTTTTGCTACGAAACGTCTCAGGCAGAATGGGCCAGACCATCTCGCGCGCAACATCTTCGAGCCTCTTCCCGTTAGGTCCTCTCCTGCAACTCCCTTCCTTCTCCCTCCTCCCCCTCCTCCTCCTCCCCCTCCTCCTGCCTGCTCCCTCATGCACATCATCCGCCTCCTCCTTCTCACTTCCATCTCCTTCTCCTTCTCCTCCTCCTCCTCCTCCTCCTCCTCCTCCTCCTCATCGACCTCCTCTTCATCCCGAACGGCATCTCGGAGCCTAGAGTTGCGAGGATGTCTCCAGCGTAACGGGCTGGACCACTCGCGCGCGGCATCTCGGACCCCAGAGTTCCGACGATGTCTCGGGCAAACGTGCTGCAAGGAAGTCTCAGGCGAAACAGGCCGGACCAACTCGAGCGCGGCGTCTCAGAGATCCGAGTTGCGGGTGCCTCCTGGGACCTCCCGGTGACCTCCTGGGGCTTCCTCCTGGGCCTCCTGTGGCCTCCTGGACCCCACCTGGGGCTTCCTGAAGCCTCTTGGGGCTCCCAGGGGGGATATCTAACCTGTAGCCGTTTGGGCCTCTCCAAATGGAGGGGGGGCACAAGAGCAGGAAGAATCAACGAATCGTCACCGGATGTGTATTAACTTGACACGTTCTGATAGGCGGCCTCCTGGGGCCTCCTGGGAGCCTCCTAGGAATCTCCTGGGGACCCCTGGGGCCTGTCCTGGGCGTCCTGCGGCCTCCTGGAGCCCTCTGGGGCCTCCCCCCCCTCCTGCCTGCTCCCTCATGCACATATCATCCGCCTCCTCCTTCTCCCTTCCTTCTCCTCCTCCTCCTCCTCCTCCTCCTCCTCCTCCTCCTCCTCCTCCTCCTCCTCCCCCTCGTCCTCGTCCTCCTCCTCCTCCTCCTCCTCCTCCTCCTCCTCCTCCTCCTCCTCAACCTCCTCTTCATCCCGAACGGCATCTCGGAGCCTAGAGTTGCGAGGATGTCTCCAGCGTAACGGGCTGGACCACCTCGCGCGCGGCATCTCGGACCCCAGAGTTCCGACGATGTCTCGGGCGAAACGTGGCGCGAGGAAGTCTCAGGCGAAACGGGCCGGACCACCTCGAGCGCGGCGTCTCAGAGCTCAGAGTTGCGGGTGCCTCCTGGTGCCTCCTGGGGCCTCCTGGGGACCTCCTGGAGCTTCCTCCTGGGCCTCCTGTGGCCTCGTGAACTCCACCTGGGGTTTCCTGAAGCCTCTTGGGGCTCCCAGGGGTGATATCTAACCTGTAGCCGTTTGGGCCTCTCCAAATGGAGGGGGGGCACAAGAGCAGGAAAAATCAACGAATCGACACCAGATGTGTATTAACTTGACACGTTCTGATAGGGGGCCTCCTGGGGCCTCCTGAGAGCCTCCTGGGAATCTCCCGGGGGCCCCTGGGGCCCCTGGGGCCTGTCCTGGGCGTCCTGCGGCCTCCTGGTGCCTCCTGGTGCCTCCTGGGGACATCCTGGAGCTTCCTCCTGGGCCTCCTGTGGCCTCGTGAACTCCACCTGAGGTTTCCTGAAGCCTCTTGGGGCTCCCAGGGGGGATATCTAACCTGTGGCCGCTTGGGCCCCTCAAAATGGAGGGGGGGGCACAAGAGCAGGAAGAATCAACGAATCGACACCGGATGTGTATTAATTTGATACGTTCTGATAGGGGGCCTCCTGGGGCCTCCTGGGAGCCTCCTGGGAATCTCCTGGGGCCCCCTGGGGCCTGTCCTGGGCGTCCTGCGGCCTCCTGGACCTCTCTGGGGCCTCCTGAGGCTCGCAAGGTCCCATGGAGGATATGTAACATGTGGTCTTCTGGGCCCAGGCTGGACCACCTCTTGCGCAGCATCTGAGAGCTCAGAGTTGCGAGAATGTCTTGTGCGAAACAGGCCGGACCACCTTGCGCACAGCATCTCAGAGCTCAGAGTTGCAAGGATGTCTCAGGCGAGACGGGCCGGACCACCTCGCGCAGGGCATCTCAGAGCTCAGAAGTTCGAGGATGTCTCAGGCGAAACGGGCCGGACCACCTCTCGCGCGGCATCTCCGAAGTCAGAGTTTCGAGGATGTCTCAGACGGAACGGGCCGGACCACCTCGCGCAAGACATCGCAGAGCTCAGAGTTTCGAGGATGCCTCAGGCGAAACGGCCCGGACCACCTCTCGCACGGCACCTCGGGGCTCAGAGATTCGAGGATGTCTCAAGCGAAACGGCCCGGACCACCTCTCGCGCGGCGTCCCGGAGCGCAACTTTTCGAGGACGTCTCAGGCGAAACGGCCAATCCCGGCCAACTCAGAAACGAGAGTTGTGAGGATGTCTCAAGCGAAACGGCCAAAACCATAAAATTTGTGTGAGGATGTCTCTGCTCCGACTTCCCTCGGCCGGAACTAGATTCTACCACAACAGCACCCCGTTCAGCAAGCTGTTTAGGGAAAAAACAATGCAAAAAGTGAGCCTGGGCAGGAGCGACCTGTGGCGCGCGGCTTTCCGGGGCCGTGCCGGGGCCAGATTGTCAAGTGCGCGGGCCAGCGCTGGGGGGAAGCCCTGCGATCCCGCACCAAAGGTCACTCCGGCGATGGGTCACTCCTGCGCCTCGCCGAAAAAAAGAAGTCCGCGGGGAGCCACGCTGCGACAACGTCAGATGCCGTGGGTCTGCAGCCGCGTCTGGCCTCTGACACCCTGGCTTCGGGCCTTCCTTGGCGGTAGATGTTCGCCCTGCATGTATTGTTGACGGGCCCCAGAAGCCGAAATCAAGGACAGACGCCAATCCGCGGACCCCAAAAGGACACGACCCCTTCCTTGGCGGTAGATACTCATCCTGTATGTATGTGACGGGCCCCAGAAGCCGAAATCAAGGACAGATGCCTGGACTGAACAAAACAAGTCGTCGGAACTCTGGAGAATAGAGGGCGGGACAGCGCCACGGACACATCGGGCCCCGGGCAGGCGAAGTCGTGGCCTTTTCAGTGCCTGGGCTTCTCCAAGGCGCGGTCTCTGGAGGTCTCGACCCTTGCCCTGGGGCAGGTTTTTCACCCCGAGCCGTTGTTTCACAATCCTAGGGCCCAGCGAGGGCCCCCAGGGGTCGAACATGAAAACAAAACCGTCCGTCGTGATGTTATTCCAACGTGGCTCCTAAGGGCGCCGGATCCCTCCCCATTGGCCGGGTCTTCATCCCGAGCCGCATGCCAAAACGCGATCCCCGAAGTCCCGGCACCTTCCTTGGGACCAGGTTACTCATCCTGAGTCATTTTTCGACGGTCGCGGAAAACGCTACTCCCCAGACCTCTCCCGAGGTGCGCTCTGACCAGAATTTCGAGGCGAATACAGCGGTGGCGACGAGGGCCTCAGAGAAGGCCCCCCAAAGGGGAAATCGAGGTACGGGTAGCGGTCTGGGTACCTGCTCCTCGTCGTGTTCTCTTCGCAACGTGGCTCCCAAGAGCGCCGAATCTCGTCCCAGGAGCCGGCTCGTCCTCCCGAGCCGCCCGATCACCTTTTCATCCTGAGCCGCTTCTTGACGGTCCCGGGGCCCGGCACGACGCGAGGCCGAAAACGAGGAAAAGCCTCCCGTGCTGATGTCTGTTCCCTCTGCGCGCCACCCCGGGAGGCCGTCCATGGCGGAGGGCGCTCCCTGCCCGGGCGGCCGCGGCGGCTCTGGAGGATGTCTCGGGCGCCGCGGCCTTCTCCGAGCGCCCTGGAACGCTCTGCAAGCGTCCCGACACGCTCTGGAACGGCTCCGAACCCTCGTCCTCGCCCCGCCCGCTGCCCCCCTCTGCGCGTGTCGGGTCGGGCGAAAGGGGGGGATAGCAAAGGGGGGGTTTGAGAATCAGCTCACGTAGCTGATTTTCCTGGCGCCTCCCGGCGCCGGATGGAGCTATGTCTCGAGGAATGGGCCCCTCGGTGAGGCCGAAACCAGCTGCATGCAACAAATCTCGTAACCCCCCCTTTCCCAATCCCCCCCTTTCGTCCGGCCCGAGCGTGGCCCCGGGAGGCCGTCCACGGCGGTGGGCTCCCATGGTGGCCGGGCGGCCCCTCGGCGGCAGGGCCCGCGGGGCCTTCGAGGCGCCGGCGAGCTGTCGCTTCGTCGCGCCCGCGGCCTCGGCGTTGTTGGCCTCCTGCCAGGGCGGAGGATGAGGAGGAGGAGGAGGGGGAGGGGGGAGGGGGAGGAGGAGCAGGAGGGGGAGGAGGAGGAGGAGGAGGAGGAGGAGGAGGAGGAGCAGGAGGAGGAGGGGGAGGAGCAGGAGGAGGAGGAGGGGGAGGGGGGAGGGGGAGGAGGAGGAGAGGAGGAGGAGGAGAGGAGGAGGAGGAGGGAGGAGGAGGAGGAGGAGGAGGAGGAGGAGAGAGGCTGCCTGGGAGGGGGGGGGAGGAGCATGTCGGCGGCGAGCGCGGGGGGGAAGTCAGAGGCGCGCAGGCTTTCGGACGTGTTCGAGGTTCGAAGTCTTCAAGGTTCAAGGTTCGAGGTTTTCGAACGTTTCGAGGTTTTCGGACGTGTTCAGGTTCGAGGTTTTCGGACGTGCTCGAGGTTTTCGGACGTGTTCGATGTTTTCGGACGCGTTCAAGGTGCAAAGCTTTCCAAACGGTTCCGTCCATTCTCGGCGGCGGTCCGGCCTCGGGTTGCTATCCAGCGGCCGCGCCGAGGGCGGTCCCCGGGGGTGACGGGAGCGTTCCGAGCGGCCGCGGGAGAGCCGAGGTCTGGCTGAAGAACCACCACTCGCCATCGCTCGGACGTCCATTCCCTGTGTTTTTTTTTTCCGGTTTTGTGCGCATTCTGTTCGCCAAATGACGATGCTCCTCGATGGTCCTCGCCGAAGAAAAAATGCACACGTCCGAACGATGCCAAGCCACCAGGCTTCCGAGAAGGAGCGGGCCTTCTCCGAAGGCTCGGGGAAGGCCTCGGGCTTCCTGAGAAGTGTTCCAGGAACCACTTCTCAGGGGGCGCGAGGGCTTCCGAGAAGTCCCGCCGCCTTCTGAGAAGGCCTGCTCCTTCTCACTTCCCCCCCGGGCACCCCGCCGAGTAGATGAGAGCGACACCACCACCACCATCAGGGACTACCAGCGGAAAAGAACCAGGGGTGGTCCCCCTTTTGGTGCGGTCCCCCAGCTCGGGGAGGCATCGTAGCCCCCTCCCTGGTGGCCCCCCTGGTTGTGATAGTGGTGTTGCTTCTCCTTCCCCCGATAGTGGAAGGAGGACCCATGCTCCCAACGTGTCGTTCGAAACATTGAACGCGAAGGTGTTTCGTAATTTTGTCCTTTGGGGGCCGTCGCCGGGCCCCGTGACAAGGAAGACACGACTCGGGATGCAACGCCGGGCCTGGGGAAAGGGGCTGGACTTCTGGGGACCCCGTACGGGAACAATCGAGGCACTGGAAAACAGAAAGTCGCGCAGGAGACGGAGGGGACTGGGCGATGAGGAGATGGGGGATGGCCAGGGGGAGGAGGATTAGGAAGCGTACACCTTGCCCTCAGTGAGAGTCCTTGCCTGGCGCCTCTACGCCCGAAAGGGCACCGGTAGATCTCACCACCTCTTCGCCTGCAGGGGTGGCACTTTGCTTGCAACAAGAACATCGGTATGTAGGCCCCAGGTCAATCGTTGGTTGCATTCCGCGATCGTTTCCTTTCTCTTGATCGAGGAAGTCTCCATTGACGCCGCAACCATCCTGCCACTGTCTGCGCAATAGAAAGCGAGGGAGCAACTTCTGGGAAGATGTCGTATGATCAGGTGTTGTGAACCGGATTTGGCCAGATTGGGCCAGGGATCAAAACCGATCAAGCCCGCGACACACCCTGCCTACCCTCGATTGGGACGGTTCTCCACCAAGGATGTACCAGAGCCGATGCTGAATGTAACCCCCGCAGGAGAAGAATCCTAAGAGGAGTGGTAAGAGGAGAAGCAGAAGGTCGCGCAGGGGGCATGGGGGATCAGAAGATGGAGTTTGGCCCCCAGACATGGAGGACGGCGTCCCTGGAAGTCCCGACCCTGTCCCCGGGGCCGGTTTGTCGTCCCGAGGTTTTTTTAGACGGTCCCGAGGCCCGGCGAGGGCCCCCCCGGGGCCGAAAATAGCCAAAAACCTAACGTCCTGATTTCTTAACGACGCGATCATGTCTGGGCCAGGGAGAGGGACGAGGGGAGGGAGCCGCCGTGGGCGTCGCGGAGAGGCAGCAGGAGGGAGGTCGTCGTCGTCGTCGTCGTCGACGTCGACGTCGTCCTTGAGGGTCGGCGGCACCGGCCGTAAGGCCTTCGCAAGACTGACTTCTGGGGGGCAGGAGGAGCGCCAGGGAGGGCGAAGCGCGGAGGAAGATGGGACGAGGGGGAAGGGCCGCGGGAAGAGGGGGGAGGAGGGAGGACGGAGGGGAGAGGGAAGAGGGGCGACGCGGAGGGAAGATGGAAGAGGGGGAAGAGGGAAGAGGGAAGAGGAGGGATGACCGCGGGAAGCGGGGGGGGGAAGAGGGAGGAGGCGGGGCCCTCACCATGGCACCGGGGCTGAGGATCGCACGGCTGACGCATTCGGTTGCTCTCGTGGTGCCCCAGCATCACCGCGAAGTCGCTGCGGCTACAGCAGACTGCAATCGCACTCCGTTTCGTTCAGAATTATCATCATTCGACTCACCACCGTCATCGTCAATATCATCAGAATCACCGTCGTCGTCGTCGTCGTCGTCGTCGTCGTCGTCGTCGCAATCAATCCTGCCTGGTGCCCCTTATGTGCGATGACGAATTACAAAGATGACGCAGATGCGTAGGTTGCAGAATGGAACGCACGTGCTTTTACACTACGTTGAGTCAAGCACACCATGCAGAAGCCACGAGACACAAGAAGAGCTCGCGAGGGCCTCAGGGGCGAGGCCCGAAGTTAATACAGATCCACCGCCTGGGAAGCCGGTCTCCGTTCCAGGACCACAGGGAAACAGTGGGTGTGGATGCATGATTGGGGCACCTGGGGGCCCCGAATCTTCACACCCTCCGCTTCCCGAGAACCAGGAAAGTTGGACCCCCAGGGGCTGGGAATGCAGAACTCCCAGCCTCCGATCAGTTAAGCTCAAGAACGAGCCCAAGAGGAGCCAAGCAGGGCCCCGGCTGGCCTCAAGAAAGCGTCAACAGAGCCCAGAACACCCTGGACAGGCCTCGGGGATACCCCCAAACGGCCCCAAGCGGATCCCAAGAATGCACAAGCAAAGCCCGGAGAATATCCGCCGGCCCCCTTGTGGGGCCACCAGGCTGTAGGCGCGAGGTTCGCAGTTTCCTGTACCAGTTGTAGCTTGTAGTTTCCAGTGTTACAGTTCTGCTTCTTGCTGGTTACTGTAACTAGTTGACTTATTGCTGGTTACTGTAACTAGTTGATTGACCGCGCGAGGGGGGGGGGAGGCCCAAACCGGCTTTTTAGCACCCCCTGGGCGCGTTGTCTGAATTGCTGGGGGGGCTCGAAATCGACACCCCTCACGCAGATCCGCGGGGTCAGGGTCCAAAAACACAGGGATTTGCCACATTTCTGAAATTCGGTGCCACCCCTCACGCAGATCCGCGAGGTCATGGTGAAATTCGGTGCCACCCCCCACGCAGATCCGCGGGGTCAGGGTCCAAAAACACATGGGATTTGCCACATTTCTGAAATTCGGTGCCACCCCTCACGCAGATCCGCGGGGTCAGGGTCCAAAAACACATGGGATTTGCCACATTTCTGAAATTCGGTGCCACCCCTCACGCAGATCCGCGGGGTCAGGGTCCAAAAACACAGGGATTTGCCACATTTCTGAAATTCGGTGCCACCCCTCACGCAGATCCGCGGGGTCAGGGTCCAAAAACACAGGGATTTGCCACATTTCTGAAATTCGGTGCCACCCCTCACGCAGATCCGCGGGGTCAGGGTCCAAAAACACATGGGATTTGCCACATTTCTGAAATTCGGTGCCACCCCTCACGCAGATCCGCGGGGTCAGGGTCCAAAAACACAAGGGATTTGCTACATTTCTGAAATTCGGTGCCACCCTTCACGCACATCCATCGCAAGGCGTGGTAACCCAAACTGCGAGAACTCCCTCGGCCCTTTAATCGCAAGGTGTGGTAACCAAGCCCGTAAACCATACACGTCTTACCAATCGCCAGGTGTGGTAACCCCTCTTGTGATCAGTTGGTTTTGCTGATTGCGAATCGGCTTCGCATGAAGTTTCGATACTGCTTCACGACAGCGCCAAGGCCTCATGACTTAGCTCTTCCATGGCCCATTCTCCGAGAGAGGGGGCCGGCGGCAGGGGGCGAAGCCCTTACGGATAACATGTAGGCCCACCTCCATGGGCATTGGCACTAATTGGCACCACTGGTCGACATAGCCCCCTAGATGGGCACACGTTCCGTTCCCGTCGGGCCTCGCGGTCGGGGATCTACTGACCCGGGTCCATTCAATCACGGGCCAGTCAGGCCTTGAAAGATCATGCAAGATCCTGCAGAACCCTGCGCCCTACCCCAGGTCAATGCGCCCCTGGCTCTGTAGGATCCAGCAAAATCTGGCGATCTGGCTGACCCCCCTCTGCACTGACCTTCACGTCAAGATTCCTGACGCAAGACAAACCCAATCTGCCCAGGTAGGCTTGGGGGGCTGGTACATCATGGCCCAGCAAAGACGGGGATCGGCAAGACGATGCTGCTTTTTTGGAAAGGACGGGCACCGTCGAGTCACTCGTCCGAGTTTGTGCCGCTGTCGCTGTCCACCACCGCCAGCTGGAAGACGCGCAGGTGGCCAAGGCCAGGCCTGAAGAGCCAGGCGACCGCCGTGTAGATGGCCCACAGCGAAGCCTCGTGCACGAGGGTCACGACCCAGCGCTCGTCCCAGGGCAGCACGTGCAGGGCTGATCGAAGAAGAAACAACCAATTCCAGGAACATGAGCATTGGAAGCTGCGCGCCGACTTCTTGGATCTGCACTGGAGGCTCCAGCTCAGAATCCAGGAACTCCGCGCGGCACTCCCAAACACTACGCCGTCGATGTACTTTCTTCCTCGAGCTAGGAAGTTGGTCATGGTGGGCAGGATGACGAAGTACAGGAAGAACCCCCTAAAGAAGCTGTAGGCCCGGTGCTTGGCGTACAGGCCGCTCGTATCCGGCGAGGCGAGGGCCTCGGATATCTGCCGCTGCAGGGAGAAAATGTTGAAATTTGTCGCAATGATCACGACCAGAGCCGTCGGCCCTCGGCTTGCCCGAGGGGAACGGCGTGTGAGATAAGTTCGGGGATGGACAGACCCCCCTTTCGTAAAACGTGGTCTAGTGAAAACGATCTGAGGCCCAAACCTGGCGGGCGCAAGACTGGAAAATAACGGCCACGGCGCCCTCTCGAGAACCGAAAACGGACAATTCACTAATCGACGTGTCACTGTTGGGGGTTCTGTCCACCCCCGATAAGTGGCTGTAGCTCCTCCCCCTCTCCCCCTCCCCTGGTGCCCAAACTCACGTCCGAAGGGCGCGTGGGGCGTGGGGGGTGGGGGCGGGGAATGGGAGGGGGCCACAGCTCATCAACGCACGCGAAATCGGGAGCCGCACATATCCTGTCAGTAGAACGGCGTAAACCTCTTGAGTCCGCCCGCTCACTGGGCTGAGGGGCGTTGGAGATTTGACCGTGAGAGCTTCTTACAACCCCCCCCCAAGGCCTCCTGCTGCGGCCGTTGTCTACTTCCGACTCCAAGACGGCTTCCAAACGGCGTCCAAGACGACCTCGAATTTCGAACCGTCCCAACACGCTTCCTGGCTCGTAGTGGCTCCGCTCTGGCCCATTGGGGCCCCCTCCGTGAAGCTCCCAGTCGACTCTCAAGGTCCTCAAGAACGCTTCTTGGACCCAACCTCGCCTATAAACTCGAAGATTCAAACATGTAGCAATATCCACTGCTTTCCCATGGATTTCGCCCCGCCTGGAGTCCCACGCACGCCTCTAACAGCTGACGTTTGGGCTCGTCTGGTGACGTTTTTGAACATGCAAACTTAGACGCCGTTTTGGGGTGCGCTCCAGGGTCAATATCAAACGATTAGGGGCCCAACATGGGCCCCAGAACGACGATCAAAATGGCCGAAACGGCCGGATGTTTGACTGCAATTCGACAGGGGGCGTGGCCAAACACAATGGCGATCTCGCATGGGCCGTCCAGGGGCTCCCCCAGCCCGAGGTGGGAGGGAGGGAGGGAGGGAGGGAGGGGGCCCTTCTTGGCCCCTTTTGGGCCCTTCCAGAGGCCCTCTTCGGACCTCGTGGGCGCCTCTTGGGGCTTTTTCTGGCCGCCTCTGGCTGGTCTCGGGATCTGGCTATCTCAGGCCTCCTGCTGTGGTGTGGATGGGGAGCGAGCATCAAGAGAACCAGCATCCGTTAGTGATGCTGACGGGCCGCCGACAAATCGATGAACTCAACATCGATCAGCCACAGTGCACATCCCAGCCCAATCGGCGAGGGGATGGAGGAGAAATGGAGCCCAAGAGAAAGCACAACTACACACACACACGTGGGGGAGGCTTGAACTAGTTTAGGGATGCTGTCATCCCGTCGTGGCGCGCCTGCGTATCTTCTGGCGAAAGCTGGAGTGGGCGGGCGGTGAACGCAACGCGTCTCGAATAACATAGCGAGTGCAGGGTGAACTGGGTGAGCAGGTAGCTCTGGCCGCCGCCGCACACGCCGAGCGTGTTGCAGACGACTTGGGTCATCCCGAACAGGAAGGACAGCCCGCTGACGACGCCTGCGAAAAGCCATTCAGAGTAACGCAGGTGCGATCGCACCACCTTCCAGCCCAGGCCCACCATGTCTAGGGAGCCCGGGAGAGAGGGCGGCTCCTCCACTTCCCCGGCAGATGGGGAGAGGGGGGCGGGGGGCCCTCGCCCTCCACCTTCCGCACCTTCCGCGCGGCAGGTGCCGCGCCGCGGCGGACGCCGCCGCCGCCGAAACCGCTGCTGCGGCCTCGGCGGAAGCCGCAGTGGCGGCCGCGGCGGCGGCCGCCGCGGCGTGGAACCTGCCGCGCGGAAGGTGCGGAAGGTGCAGGGCGAGGGGGAGCGACGGAGGAGGCAGGGGATGGGGCAAAGAGAGGAGGGGAGGGCGGAGAGGGGGCGGAGGGGGGACAAAAACGAACGCTGACCCCAGACCCACGACGCCGTGATGCGTGTCACAGCCTGGGCCCCCGGACATCCCGACCCCTCCCGCTCTTCACCCCCCGAGGCGTGCTTGAGCGGCCCAGGGGCCGGGCGAGGGCCCCAGGAGGCAGCAGCAGAGGCTTCCGTCCTGAGTTCGGGAGCGGCCAGGAGGGGGGCGTCCAAGAGGGGGGGGTGCAAATCATGGCCGGCGGCACGTGCGCGGCCCAGGGGAGGGGCCGGGGACGTAACGAAATAAGAAGAGGCGCCATGAAATCTGGGAAATATCATGGCCCACGCCATGATACCCACCCTCCCCTAGTCATCACCCCCCTCTTTGCCGCCCCCGATGAGTTCTCACCGTGCGAGGAGGACCGGGACGAAGGGGGGGAGACGCCAATTCACGGCTCCCCGATGTAGAAAACCAACACTTGGCAAATGATTTGCACCTCGCCCAGCAGGTGCCGCACAAACTTCAGCTGGACGCTCTCCCTGCCCGTCAGGGCCTTCGTCCTCAGGTCCGCAGGCCGTCACTTTGGGCTCCCAGGCTGCGAGGCATGAATCGGGGAGTCGTAAGACTCGAGTTTGGGGAACTCGGATTTGACTGACGCTGCTGCCAGAAAAATGACAAAGCATAATCTGAAAATTGACGCAAATTCTTGCTGGCAAAACTAGTTCACTAACATTGGACCGTCAAAATTCTGGCCAGGACGGTTTCTACTGCCCGGGTCATGGCAAATCCGGGTCAATCAGGCCTTGCAAGATCCTGCAAGATCTGGCGCTCTGGCTGACCCCCGTTTGCATTGACCACCGTCCCAAGGCTCCCGAAAGCGGCGGCGGACCCGAGTTCTGGCCAACTCGAGTCTCAGAATGTGTTCAACCTAGCTGTATGCATGTCCATTCGCCCTCCCTCTCCTCTTGCCGTCGTCCTATCGTTGTCGTCCTCCGCCTCCTCCCCCTCGCCCCTGGCGGCCCCTGACGAAGGGTAAAACGAAACCAATCCGAGGACAACATCGGAGCGATATAAATCGGAAATCATTGAGAATCGGCGGGGCTGGAGGATGTATCCAGCGTCGCGGCCTTTTCGAAGCGTTGTGGAACGCTCTGAGAGCGTTCTGGAACGCTCTGTGGAACGGATTCATCTCGATTATTGGCCCGTCCTCCTCCTCCTCCTCCTCCTCCTCCTCCTCCACCTCCTCCTCCTCCTCCCTCCTCCTCCTCCCTCCTCCTCCTCCTCCTCCTCCTCCTCCTCCTCCTCCTCGCCTGCTGGCGGATCGTGGGGGAGTGGGAATCGCTCTGGCCCAGACCGCGACGCGCCAAGCGCGATGACCCCCACGGCCTCGCGGGTGACCCAGGCTTCTCGCTAGCATGGGTCAGGGATGCGTGGATCTGGGCTGGCCATCGCCCGGACGTCCATTCCTGTGTTTTTTTTGTGGTTTCGTGCGCGGTTTTTTCGCCTAACGATCAAGGATGCTCCTCGATGGTCCTCGCCGAAGGAAAGATGCACACGTCCGAGCGATGCCAAGTGGGGCGCAGTCGCTGGATCCATAGATCGGGGAAGGCATCCCTGAGGCATGGCGCCAGTGCCGCCCGAAGAGGTGCCAGAACGCGCTGGTTCGTTGCGGAAGCGGGACCCATCGCGAGCCCACGCGCCCTCATCCGTGTTTTGGCAGAAGGCTCAGAAAACCTCGGGCTTTTTGACTGCTCCCTCTCACTTCCCCCCCCCCCGGCTCGCCGCCGAGAAAAATCACCACATTAAACAGCACGTCTTGAGCAGCTGGGCAGGACCGTGGAGAGGACGATCCAAGCATCCCTGTGACGACGACGCCCGCGAGCAAGCCCAGAGCCCAACTCATCCGTCGTCACCCACGAAACTCTTGCGCGACGCCCCCCCACCCCTCGCATCTCTTGACCGCCACCATGCATTACGCCCCCCCCCCCCCCCAGGATGGCCATGGCCAAGCAGGCAGGGTCGCTGGTGCTCTCGATTGGGGAGTGGTGTGGGGGTGGCTCAGGGGCGGAGACGACGACTTGGACTCGGCAATGCAATCCGTCGCCGATGAAGCGACAACATGCCCCCCAATGGGGAAACATCACGTTTTCCTCTGCAGTTTGAGGCCCCCGGGCCCCCGATCTGCGATGAATGGCCGACTCGGGGGTCGATGCTCCCCCCCCCTGTGCCAACTCCACCGTCGGCACCCCTGATCGATGCTTTCGGGTGGAGATGGGGCGAGGAGGCGGAGGAAGAGGAAGAGGTGGAGGAGGGGGCAGGAGGAGGAGGAGGAGGAGGAGGAGGAGGAGGCATTCCTTGTGTGTGTATGATGTGTGTGCGGCTGTATGTACACGTGTGTCGCAATGTGGGTAATGCATGATGCGTGCACGGCAATTTGTGACATGTGTCTCAATACCGAGCGCCACGCTTGAGCAACGACCGCCACGGAAAATGCCATCAATGTGTATGACGCGTGCACGGCTGTATGTGGACGTGTGTCACAATACCGAGCGCCACGTTGGAGCAATGTCTACCACGGAAAGTGTCATACCTGTCGGTTATTGTGTGTCTATATGCGTGCTGTGAGTTTGTTGGGTGCGCGTGTTCTTTGCATGCGCGTGTGACTGCATGTTCGCGTGTGTCTGATTGTCTCATGCGTGCGCAAGTGCAGGTGACGAGGAGATGGAGGAGGGGCGAAGGATGAGGGAGACGCGGGTGCGACGCAGGTGGGAAGAAACCAAGAACCCCACTAACCATGTGGGGAAGAAAAAACCGCATGACCATAACTTTCGGAGCTCCGCGCGGATATCTCGTCGGCGCTGGGCCTCCTTCCATGGCGCGCGGAGCGCACCAGGTGCGGCCGCGCCACCAGGGAGGTCCAGGCGCCGACCCGAGAAGTTCGCGCAGATCTCCGGAAATGTCTCCACCTCCTCATCCCCTCCTCATGCTCCTCCTGCTCATCATCACCAGCATAATCATCATCATCGCCACCACAATCGTCAGCATCATCATCATCATCATCATCATCATCATCATCATCATCATCATCATCAGCATCATCACCATCGTCAATCGCAGCATCTCACCATCACCATCATCACCACCATCATCACCATCATCATCACAAGCATCATAATAAGCATCATAATCAGCATCAGCCTCAGCATCCAGCTCATCATCATCATGTTCAGCATCAGCACCACCAGCATCAATATTATCAGCATCACTATCATCATGATCATCGTCATCAACAACGACAGCATCATCAAAAACAGCTGCATCATCCTCACCCTTTCCCTCACCCTCAGCCTGACCCTCAGCCTCATCCTCATCAGCATAATCAACATCGTCAACATCACCATCATCATCACTATCATCATAAGCATCAGAATCAACCTCATCAGCATCAGTACCACATCATCAAATTCATCATCATCAGCATCATCATCATCATCAGCATCAGCATCGTCATCATAATCATCATATCATCATCATCTTCAGCATCATCATCATCATCTTCATCATCATCATCATCATCATCATCATCATCGGCATCGGCATCGTCATCATCATCATCAGCAGCAGCATCCTCATCCTCCTCCACCACCTACTCCTCTTTCTCCTCCTCCCCCTCCTCAGTTCATCCTCGTCCTCATCCTCATGCTTATCCGAAGTATAACCATCATCGCCATCATCATCATCACCATCACCGTCACGGTCAGCATCATCATGATCATCATCATCATCATCATCATCATCAACATCATCATTAGCATCATCATAAGCATCATCATCATTACCACAACCACCATCATCATCACAATGCGTATCATCATAATTACCATCATCAGCAACATCACCATCATCATCATCATCATCACTATCATCATCATAATCATCATCAGCATCATCATCAGCATCATCATCGGCAGCAGCACCGTCATCATCATCATCATCATCATCATCATCATCATCATCATCATCATCATCATCATCATCATCATCATCATCCCCCTCCTCATCCCCCTCCTCATCCCCAGCCTCATCCCGAACACAGGGACCGGGGAAACGGGCCCTGAGGAAAACGGGTCTTGGGCCCTGGGGCCTTCCCCGAAGACAAGCTTTTCCTCGTGAGCCGCTTTCTGACGATCCCGGGGCCCCCGGAGCGCCCTTGGACACCAAACACGCAAGAAACCTTCAGGACCCGCTCCCTCGTGGCGAAAAGCATGGAGCCCGTCGGCGGCGGCCAGGAGGCCCTCTCGGATCGAGGCGGACGAGCAGCATCACCCCGCACTTCGTCACCAGGGTCACGAGCAGCAGGGCGTGGAGCCAGGACCGGCCCCGCGCGCGCACGGCGATCGCCGCGGCGAGGGCGAGGGCGGAGGCGAGGAAGGCCCAGGCGCCCACCAAGACCACGGTGGGCGAATGGCGGTCCTGCACCTCTTCTAGGGGAAGAAAAAGTGACATAAACATAAAAAAACTCTGAGGTCCGCGCGGATTTCTCGGATCGGCGCTGGACCCCACTCCCTGGCGCGCGGAGCGCGCCAGGGGCGGCGCCGGAGGCGCCGCCGGGGGGCCCCAGCGCCGATCCGAGAAATCCGCGCGGACCTCCGAGTTGTCATGTTTATGTCACTTTTTGCTCCTCTTCGGCGAACAAAAACTTTGATTCGATCCGCTTCCGCGGCTCAATCCGACTTCGATTCGATCCGGTGTTCCGAGTCGATGCTGACTGATCCTGCCGGGGGGCGATGTGGTGGGGACTCGGGGCGAGCGCACGCTTCCGCCCGCAGGGTGTGTCCGTCGAAGACGAGCACACCCTGGCACAAGCAAAAACTTTCGGAGGTCCGCAAGGACTTCTTGGATCCGCGCTGAATCCGATTGAGCATTCGTCGTGAACATACTTTTTCCTTTGGCGGCTAGGCAGGGGTCGTCTGATCTGGCGAGGTCAGCTAAGTTCGTCCTGATCACACGCAGGAATAAAACAGACGAAGGCTATCGTGGTTCGCGCGGATATTGCTGGAGCGGCACTGGAGCGGCTATCGTGGTTCGCCTCGCGCGCCAGGGAAGGGGGCCAGCGCTGATCCAAGAAAATCCACGCGGAGCTCCAAACACTTATGCGTGTGCCGTTTTCTTTCTGCTCTTCGTCGGGCCTCGAGTTGTGGATGCCACGAAAAATGGACACCCTAACAGTCCTCTCATCGAATTAAACATGTGTTGAAGATGTAGGAAAATGTCCTGGAAATGGCTAAAACATGTGCTTTACATGCTCTAAACAGTCTTAACACATGTCCTAGGCATCTGGAAATCCTTTGGCAACATGCTCCCTCTCCTTTGATCGTCCTCCACAAGCCTCGAGCTGCGAGGGGCCGTCGAACCCGAGGTTCAGGAAGGCCACCTCGCCCCTCAGGCCCTCGACCTCGCCCAGCCTCCCCTGCTGGCTGGAGGGCCGGAGGGCCAACTGCAGAAAAGAGATAACCAAGGCTGAACCTAAACGGTGTTTCTCGCTTTCGTTTTGTTTCCGCTTTCCCTCGCTTCTGTCTCGAATCCGTCTTTACCCCGAAACAAAGTCGAGAATTCAGGTCAAGCCCTGGAGAGAGCGGGGCGAGAAGACGGCCCGGGGTCCTCTCCTGGGGGTCCGACGGCACCCCCCGGAAGTCCGCGAGAGCAGAAGCACGGAAGGGGCACGACCATCAGCTTTTGGAGCTCCAAGCGGGGCGCTGCGGATCTGCACCGGGCCCCCCTCCCCTGGCCATCGCTCGGACGTCCGTCCGTTCCTTATGTTTTTTTCCGTTTCGTGCGTGGTTTCTTCGCCAAATGACCAAGGATGCTCCTCGATGGTCCTCGCCGAGAGAAACATGCACACGTCCGAGCGATGCCAAGATCTCCCTGGCACGCGGAGCGCACCGTGGGGCGGCGCGCCGGAGGCGTCGCCGGGGGTGAGTGCGTCGCAGAGCCAGGGCCTCCGGCGCGGCCCCCTGGCGGAGAAGTGCGCGCAGAGCACCCCCCCCTCCCCCTGGCTTCTGGCCTGGGCGGCGGGGCCGGACAGGTGCCAGTATTCTACCAGCCTGGAATATATCCCTATCCCTATGCTGGGCATCTCCTCATCACGATGCCAATCTTAGGGATTCCCTTATTGTTTTTGAGGGCGCATCCCTAAGATTGTCATCGCCTTTTGGCGTGTCAATCTTAGGGATAGGGATACGTTCGAGGCTGGTAAGTATTCTCAGGCGACCTGTCAGAAAAACAACAGGGCCAGGCCTTCTGAGAAGGTCTCTAAAACAGGCGAGCCAGTTCTTCGAGCGAGATGGGGCCAGGCCTTCTGAGAAGGTCTCTAAAACCTAGACGAGCGCGTTCCACTACTCGCAAAGTAACTACTCGCAAATGGCCTGGATCCGCCGCGGGGGATCTACGATCATTTGCACCAAAAACGGACATGAGTTGTTCGGACGGTTGCGAGTAGGCACTTGGCGAGTAGTGGAAAGCGCTCGGTGATTCTCCAAATCTTCCCCGAAGACACCGAAAACTCCTCAGAGGCCGGCGCGCTGCTGAGAAGCCCCCCGCCTTCTGAGGAGAGCTTCGCCTTCTCACTTCCCCCCCCTTGCTCGCGACGAGAAGTCGAAAAGTAGACGAGAAAGCCAAAAACACAGACTGGTCCTAGGTTTTGAAAGGATTTTGGCCTCTTTGAGGCCTCCTGGGACTCCTTGGGATGCGTGGTCTGGTCCGCGGGATGCCCCAAAGGCCACCAGGGCGTCCCGGAAGCGGAGGGCGGTCGACCGGGGGGCACCTGCCCAGGCGGGGCGCAAGGACGTGGAAACAGGAGTGCGTCGCTGATCGATACAGTATTCGGCCTGACCTAAGGAACGGTAAATAAAGAACGAAACCCCTTTTTTTCCGAATACGTCCAGGAAATCCGAGAGAACACCAGGGGGGCTCGCCGCCAAAAAGGTAGCGGAACGCATGCAAACCAAAGGAACGACCGAGCCCCTTTTGGCAAGTAAGTGTTCCTTATTCAAGCCGGACCCTGTAAGCGACAGGCCCCCGATGCGGCCGGACCCTGGACAGCAGAACAGCCTTCGAGAGCATGATGCCCTCCGCCGGGCAGACCGAAGAGCACTCGGGGTTAGCCTCCCCAGGATGCACAAGGACAGCCAGCGAACACGAAGAGCACTGGGGTGGGAGGAGGAGGAGGAGGAGGAGGAGGAGGAGGAGGAGGAGGAGGAGGAGGAGGAGGAGGAGGGAGGAGGAGGAGGAGGAGGAGGAGGAGGAGGAGGAGAGGACGAGGGAGGAGGAGGAGGAGGAGGAGGGGGAGGTGGTGGAGCAGGAGGAGGAGGAGGAGGAGGAGGAGGCGGACCACCCCACGTCGGTCCAGACCTACTGCCAGGGCTGCTTCCAACAACGACTGCGACTGAAGCTCAAAAACATGTAAGAAAAGCAGCCAACTGGCTCTTGCGCCAGCACTCAGACCTTTGAACATCAGCCCTGCTTTGTCTACGGAATCGGCGGGCTATTGAACGCCCCGGAAGGTCGGGGGGGAAGGATCTAGCGCCAAGGCAAGTTTATCTCTGCCAAATTTCGGAACATCGATGTGCGGGCCCCCAACATGTCGACCCTTCATCCAAGGGTAGTCTCGTCGTCCCGAGCAATTCGGTTGACGGTCCCGAAGGCCCAACACCGAGCTGAAAAGGCAAACAGAAGGCGACAGAGAAGCCGTTTCGACATTTCGGACGGGAAGGATGTCTGGAAGTGCGAGCTCGGGCACCAGTCTCTGGCCGAAACGGGGCCAAAGCGGCAGAAGCATTGGAAAAACCTCCTCGGGCGTCAGACCTCGAGGCGTCGCGCGGTTATCTGGCTCAGCTGGGCTCCCCTGGGGGAATGTTCTGTCCCAGGCTACTGTCTGTGTTGGAGGTATGGGGTCGAAGTGATCAGTCCGCCCGACGTCTGGGAGGAAAAGGAGGGTTATCGAATTAGCTCATGCATCCGCTTTTCCTGGCGCCTCCCGGCGGAGGGGGCCGAAGCCAGCTGCACGCAACAGACTTCGCAATCCGCGTGGTGAGATTGTTGGACGCCCTAAATGGGCACGGAAAAAGTGGGTACAATGCCAAACAACAAGGGTTTACCGAAACCAACAGCGACCTTGGGCAGGAGGCCTTCTGTCTCAAATGGACACAGGCCGAGGCGCCGCGGACAGCAAGTCCTGTTCCAAGAACTGCTGTTGGGCATTGTACCCATTCTTTCCGTGCCCATTTCGTTCGTGCTGGATATCTCCCATTGCAAATAAACATACCCCCAGGTAGTCCCCGCTGGCCTCAACAGGCCCCCGAGCAGTCTGGGCGGTCTCAACACCCAAATCCTGGGGAGTAGGGCGCCGCTCGAGGCGGCGCCAGCGTGTTGAGACCGCCCAGGGCTACTCGGGAGGTATGCTGAGGCCAGCTGGGACTACTCGGGGGGCCTGTTGATGCCAGCTGGGACCGCCTTGGGGCGGGGCTCTCTGTGCGAAGGCCGAAGCCTTACCATTCCGACGACGAATCACCACCAAAGTATGTTACACTTGTTCGAACTAATGTCATGGTGGTTTGGGTATGGTGGTGCTCCACCTTTCCAATTTGTGCTACGATTGTTGGGCTTACTGAGTCGCGCTTCCAGACGTCGTGAGCGAACCACATATCCGTATCCGCGGCCTCGCGGGCAAGGCCCCTGGGTCGCATCCCCGCGGATACAAGGCGTCGTTTCGCGGATGCCCCGCGCGGAACGCATCCGTGCGACCGCGCATCCGCGGAATCGCGCCCGATCGAGAGGGCACGGATAGGGACATGTTCGCCGCTCGTGACGACGGTGACGAAACAAAGAAGAAGACAACCAGAGCCTAGCCATGTCCTATCCAACCGAAGGAGTGTGGCCGTCCGGCCCACCAGGCTGGAGCACCCCCAGGAAGTAGCGCCCCGAGCCTCGGCACCCGTCGCACCAAGGGGTTGGCGCGAAGGAGGGGGGGGGCCCTGAAAAGGCGGGCGGGCCTCTGCAGGGGAAGAAGGCGCTGCACAAACATGAACTTGTTATCAGGTCCTTCTCTGTCGTTCCCCCTCGGAAGACACGGTTCTGAAGAAGGCCTTCTCTGCACAGTCCTGGAGAAGTTCCGCGATCCGAAGACGAGCTATAACGGCATAAACATCAACTGTCAGAGTTCCGCGCGGAATTCTTGGATCGGAGCTGGGCTCACCTCCCAGGCGCGCGGAGCGCGCCAGGGGCGGCGCCAAGGGGGCAAGCGCCGATCCAAGGAAGTAAAGTCGAAAAGCTCATGTTTACGCAGCTGTTGCTCATCGAATCTTCGGAGCCCTCCAGGCCTCTGCAGAGGAGGTCCTGGGGGAGGACCAGCTCGGGGGGGATGCACCAAGACCCCCCCTTCCCATGAGATGTTTGTAGGGCACCCTCCTAGCTTCATAAAAGGCTCCTTGTCCAGAGTGCGCCCGACCCGTTCCCCAGGGCCAACGGTCGTCCCGAGTAGATCTCCCCCGCATCAAATCGGACTATTGTTTCTCTGAGCACACACACACACACATCCTGGAACTCCTCCTCATGCTCCTCGTCATCCCTCCTCCTCATCATCATCATTATCCTCCTCCTCATCCTCCTTATCCCACCTCCTCCTCCTCCTCCTCCTCCTCCTCCTCCTCCTTCTCCACCTAACCCACACACCCACAAACCCACACACCCACGCACTCAGCATCATCATCATCATCATCATCATCATCATCATCATCATCATCATCATCATCATCACCATCATCATCATCATCATCATCATCATCATCACCACCATCATCATCATCATCATCATCATCATCATCATCAGCATCACTATCATCATCATCACTACCATCATCATCATCAACATCATCATCATCATCAGCATGATATCATCATCATCATCACCGTCATCATAAGCATCATCATCAGCAGCATCATCATCATCATCATCATCATCATTACCACCCTCACCATCCTCATCACCATCGTCATAAGCAGCATCACCAGCAGCATAAGCATCGGTGTCATCAGCATCAGCACCACCATCAGCATTATCATCACCATCACCATCACCATCACCATCATCACCATCATCATCATCATCCCCACCATCACCATCACCATCACCATCAACATCATCATCGTCATCATCAGCATCACCATCATCAGCATCGTCATCGTCATCAGCATCCTCAGCATCCTCAGCATCCTCATCATCAGCATCATCATTGCCACCAGCATCATCATCAGCATCATCGACATCAGCATCGACATACTCAGCATCACAATCAGAATCAACATCAGCGTCAGCATCGGCATCGGCATCATCAGCATCTGCATTGTCATCGTGATCGTGACCAGCATTAGCATCAACATCATTAGCATTATCAGCATCAACATCAACATCAAAAACATCGTCATATTAATCATGATCATCATCAACATCAAAATGCTCGATGCCAGCGTCGTCAACGTTAACGTCATCAGCATCACCATCCTCAGCAGCGTCATTACCCGCATCATCCTCATCATCCTCAGCCTCAGCTTCATCATCATCATCAACATCCTCGTCATTAGCATCATCACATTGTCCGTCATCATCCCCATCATCACCATCATGATCATCACCATCATCAGCATCATCATCATCATCATCATCGGCAGCATCATGATCACCACCATCAGCAGCATCATCATCCTCACCATCATCACCATCATCATCATCAGCATGTTCACCCCCATCCGCATCCTCATCCTGCTCACCACTATCAGCATCATCAACACCAACAGTATCATCTGGTTCCCCACATGGGCACCCCGCGCAGGAGCACACCCATCCACACGCTCACAGGTCATCAGCACCACCACCACCATCACCACCATCATCATCATCATCATCATCACCATGTCGTCGTCGTCAACACCATCTACCCATCATCACTCACTCGCCCACACCAATCATTTAGTCGTCATTAACCGCCACCCATCCATTCAAACATCACCACCACTCATCATCACCATCAGCATCATCAACATCATCAACATGATCATCGTCAGCATCATCATCAACATCCTCTTCATCATCAGCAGCAGCAACATTATCATCAACGCCATCATCATCATCAGCAGCATCGGCACCATCATCAGCATCCTTCTCATCAGCAGAAGCAGCATCATCACCATCATCACCATCACGTTCACATTACCATCATCACCATCATCACCATTATCACCATCACTTTTTGTCATCACCACCATCACCACCACCATCATCATCATCAACATCATCGTGATCATCGTCACCATCACTATTATCGTCATCACCATCACCACCATACACACTCACACATTCACCAACTCACCTTGAGAAAGTCACGAGCGGGAGCCCCCTCCCTGTTGTGCCCGCACTTCATGTTGGTAATTCGAGCGGGTCTTCGGAAAGCTCGACCAGGCATGGCATTTGAGCAACCCCAAGGCGGCAAATCGTAAGGATGTCTCGAGTGGGGGCCTCGTTTGTAAGTGAATTGCAGGGAAGTCTCCAGCGGGAGCCCGCTCACTATGGGGCCCGCGCTTCATGCTGGGAATCCGGGAAGGTCATCGGACAACTCGACCAGGCATAGCACTTGAGCGCCACAACGAGGCAAATCATGAGGATGTCTCCAGCAGGGGCTTCAACTGTGCGAGGAAGTCAAAGGCGGGAGCCCACTCCCTATGGGGCCCGCACTTCATGTTGGTAATCCGAGGGGGTCATCGGAAATTCCACCAGGCATGGCACTTGAGCGCCCCAAGGCGGCAAATCGTGAGGCTGTCTCGAATGGGGGCCTCGTCTGTAAGTGAATTGCAAGAAAGTCTCCGGCGGGAGCCCTCTCCCTATGGGGCCCGCGCTTCATGTTGGCAATCCGAGTGGGTCATCGGAAAACACTACGGGGCATCGCACTGGAGCACTCTGAGATGGCAAATCGAGAAGATGTCTCGAGCGGGGACAATCGTCTGTAAATGAATTGCGAGGGAGTCTCGGGCTGGAGCCAATCCCCCTTGGGGCCCGCACTTCATGTTGGTAATTCGAGCGGGTCATCGGACAACTCGACCAGGCATAGCACCTGAGCAACCCCAAGGAGCAAATCGTGAGGATGTCTCGAGCGGGGGCCTCGTCTGCGAGTGAATTGCGAGGAAGTTTCCGGCGGGAGCCCCCTCCTTTTGGGGCCCGCAGATCATGTTGGCATTCCGAGCGGGTCATCGGCGTAGTGCAGCAGGAAAGGCACCCGAACACAGCAGGGAGACTCGTGAGGACGTCTCGAGCGGGGGCACCCGCTCCCTATGGGGCCCGCACGTCATGCTGGTGCCTGGGCTCATCCAGCTTGGATCTGCCCTCCCTGGTGTCAGGTCGGGCGGGTCCTCCTACAGAGGGGATTTGGGAAGAAAAATAGAAGACACTCAGGACAGATGCAAACATAGTCAGAAATAGAAGAAAATTGCCACTGGATATGTTTTACTAGCTTCGACTATTCCTCCTGTCGAGGAACAGGCCCAACTTAACCCTGGTGGGCTCCCACCTCCGTGCTGGAATCCGAAGGGGGTCATCCGGATTTTGCAACTGCGTCACTTCTTGCCCCCCCAGGCTTGAATCTGGAGGATGTCTCGAGCGGGAGCCTCGTCAGCGAGTGAATCGCGAGGAAGTCTCGAGCGGGAGCCCTCGGAAAGCCTTCGAAGGTCACAGGACACCCACGAGGCTTCAGGAAAGCCACGGGAAGCCCCAGAAGGCCCAAAGCGGCACCAGGAGGCCCCAGCGGCCGCAGAAAGCCTCAGAGCCACCAGGAAGCCCTGACTGAAAGGCTCCAGGAATTCTCCAGGAGGCTACTTAACCTGGACCCCGGGAGGTCCCCGGAGGCCCGAGGAGGCTCCAGGAGGCCCGGCTCCAGCTTGTAGCAGGACCCAAAGGCCTCGATCTTGCTAGCTACAGCATAGATTATCACATCCTACGAAATTACAGATGCGTCGTTGACACATGAGGACGCGAGGAGGCCAGGCTCCAGGAGCTCCTGGAGGCTCCAGGAGGCAACGGGAGGCCCCAGGAGCAGGCAGGAGGCTCAATGGGGTATGCAGGAGGAGGCCAGAGGAAGTGGCAGGACGAGGATGAGGAGAAGGATGAGGAGGAGGAGGAGAAGAAGGAGGAAGAGGAGGAGGAGGAGGAGGAGGACAAGGAGGAGGAGGAGGAGGACGAGGAGGAGGGGACAGTGAGGACAGTGCCGAGAGCGTGCAGGTGAATCACGAACACGCCTCGAAAAAAAGAACGAGAGAGGGCCCTCATCCAACAAGGGGCGCTCTCCGCGCCGTGCGCGGGGCAGGGGAGCAACGGTGCGAGGGTCACTAACGGCGCAACGCCGGGCAGTCCCCACTCGCACCGCGCCCCCCGCCCGCACCCGCCCACTATTCAGGTGCCTCGGGCTCGGGCGCCTGCTGAGCATCGCAGGCACCCCGAGCTCCGAGAAAACAAGCGGCTCGAGGGGCTCGCCCGCCTTGGGATGCAGGCCCCTTCGAGCCAGCTCGAGCATCGACGCGATGGAGGCCAAGACAGCCCGCTGCACTTAAGGGGCCCCTAAGTGCAGCGGATCTGCTCCTTCCGTGCGCGGGGCAGGGGAGCAACGGTGCGAGGGTCACTAACGGCGCAACGCCGGGCAGTCCCCACTCGCACCGGAGGAGCAGCAGGAGGAGGCAGGACGCAGGAGGCAGGAGGAGGCAGGACGAGAAGGTGGGTGAGAACGAGAACGAGGAGCCAGGATGAGGAGAAGAAGATGGACCAGTGTAAACCCAAGAGTCATCAACGATGTTGGAATGAACCCTCCCACCAAGCCCCCCCTTTCATAGGCCCCTACAACGGTGCATGTCCATTGAGGGAACTGCCTCGTTGGAAGACAACCGTTTGAAGACCCTGAAGCATGCCAAACCATTGTTCCCGGGATTCCTACGCCACGGATCAACCTGACTGTTGCGCTTTGATGATCTTGAATTGTGCCATAACCCCTTTCTTGGGACTGCAACACCGCGAATCAACGCAACTGCTGCAGCCGCAAAAGTATGAATCCTTCAAAAACACAATGTTTGGTACTTTGATCATTGGAACCCGCGAAACCCTCGCACATGTTATAAACGAATGTGTGTGGCGCTACGGCGGGAACCACATTTCGAAAAGGGACTGGCCTCAATTCGCGAAACTCGTGCAGATCTTCAATACGACTGTGCGCGGCACTCAGGCGAGAACCACATTTTGAAAACGGGTCGCCCTCAATCCGTGAAACTTTTGCACATGTTTAAAACGAATGCGCGCGTCGCTACAGCGAGAACCACACATTGAAAAGAGACCGCCCTCAATCCGTGAAACTCCTGCACATCCTTAAAACGAATGCGCGCAGCGCAAAGGCGAGATCCACACTTTGAAAACAGCCCGCCCTCAATCCGTGAAACTCATACAAGCGTGCAAAACGAATGTGCGCGGCGCTGAGGCGAGAGCCACATTTTGAAAACCACCCGCCCTCCATCTGTGAAGCTGAAGCCAATGTGTAAGCTTCAGGGTCACAAATGGTGCGGAACAGGCGAAACGCCCGGCCCACCCTAAAAACTGGCCTCGGGGTGCGACAGGGGAAAATCATGTCTCAGGAAAACGAATTAAGCAGACATAGAAAGAGTGCCCTAGGAGGCCGCGGGAGGTACCATCAGGCTACAGGGCGCACCTGGGAAGCTTCAGGAGGCTCCAGGAGGCCCCAGGAGGAGGCAGGAGGCCCAAGAAGGAGGAAGAGGAGGCTGGAGGAGAAGAAAAAGGAATATGAGGTGGAGGAGGAGGATGAGGAGGAGAAGGAGAAGGAGGAAGAGGAAGGGGAGGAGGAGGAGGAGGAGGAGAAGGAGGAAGAGGAGGAGAGAGGAGGAGGTGGAGGTAGGAGAAGGAGGATGCGGACGAGAACGAGGACGAGGAAGAGGGCAAGGAGGAGGAGGAGGAGGAGAAGAATGAGTAGGACGAGGAGGAGGAAGTGGATGGGGGAGGAGAAGGACGACGACGACGACGAGAGGCGAAGAGGTTGTGGTAATGGTATGAGGAGTCCAAAGGCAAGAGGCTTGAGGAGGTATGGGGAGGAGGAGGCAGAAAGAGGCGGAGGCAGGAGGATGAGGCAAGATGAGGAGGGGGAGAAGCGGGAGGAGGAAGAGGAAGAGGCGGAGGAGGAGGAGGAAGAGGAGGAGGAGGGGGAGGACGAGGAGGAGAGAGGATGAGGGGGTGGAGGTAGGAGAAGGAGGATGAGGACGAGGACGAGGACGCGGACGAGGGAGAGGACGGGGAGGAGGAAGAAGACGAGGAGGATGACGACGATGACGTGGATGAGGACGAGAGGAGGTAATGGAAGACATGGAGGAGGAGCAGCAGCAACAGGCATGAGGCCAGAGGCAGGGTGCTTGAGGAGGCATGGGGAGGAGGAGGAGGAGGAGGCAGAAAGAGGCTGAGGTAGGAGGATGAGAGAAGATGAGGAGAAGGAGGAGGAGAGGGGGAGGAGCGGAGGCAGGAGGGTGTAGGAGGAGGGGGCGAGAGGAAATAATCAGGCAAGCTGAAGAGATTCTCATGTGGGGCGAATTTTCGTCGGGGTAATCTGACGCTCCCCAGGCGCGACGAGGGCCCTGCAGAGACCGAACGCGGCTAAAACAATTCTTCCGTCGCGACCCTCTCCGACGCGAGCTGGTCTGGGCGCCCTTCTCCAACAGGGACCCGCCCTCTGCGACGCCTCCCGGCAGTCTCTAAGAGGCCGCCCCCCCTGGCGCCACCCCCTTGTGCGCGCCGCCAGTCGGGTCGGGCGAAAGGGGGGGATAGCAAAAAGGGGGTTTGAGAATCAGCTCACGTAGCTGATTTTCCCGGCGCCGGGAGGCGCCGAGAGGCGCCTGTGTATCGAGGGATGGGCCCGGCGGCGAGGCCGAAACCAGCTACATGCAGCAGATTTCGTAACCCCCCCTTTCCCTATCGCCCCCTTTCGTTCGGCCCGAGCCAGGAGCCGCCAGCGCTGACCGGGAAGCTCGTGTTGACGGCGTCGACCAGGCTTGCGCGCCAGGTGCAGGGCGGGTAGGGGGTCCAGCCTCTGGGGGACCACTGGCCTCCGGTCCGCGGCCCTCCCGCCCCCCAAAAGATGGGGCCAAGGGGGCCGGCTGGGCCAAGGGGGGGGGGGAGGAGGAAGGAGGGGGGGAGAGAGTTGAGAGATGAGAGAGGAGGAGGAGAACGACGAGGAGGAGGAGGAGGAGGAGGAGGAGGAAGAAGAGTAGGAAGAGGAGGAGGAGGAGAAGGAGGACGAGGAGGAGGAGTAAGGAGAGAAGATGCTAGATGCGAGATCAGAGAGGAGGACGGGGAGGAGGAGAGAGCAGAGAGGGGAGATGAGGCAGGCGACAGGAGGTGGGGAGGCGAGAAAAAGAGGAGAGGAAGGGGACGAGGTGGAGGACGAGAGAGGAGGATGAAGGAGGGAGGGAGTTGGAGGTGCGAATGTGGAGCAGTCGTGATGTGCTGTTCCTTGTCCCGCCGAGGCGCAACAAGGCAAAGTGTGGAGCACATTACCAGGGCCGAACGCGGAGTCGCCGCCCAGCGAGTCGTTGCGCGCACTGCGCGAGGAGGGTTGCCCGCTGTTGGGAACTACTGGTCGCACATGCCAAATTATAATGACTCTCTACCTCACACATCGAGGCTCCGAGACTGGACGTTCTGGCCCTTCCTGGAACCTATTGGGGCGCCCTCCTGGGTACCCTGGACAAATTAGGCCTCCCCTAGTGGATCCGAGTAGATGGGTCGGAGGATCGCGCCGCGTCGCTGGTGCATCGCCGCCGATTGTCCAACACAAACAGCGTCGGCTGTTGGGCAAGCGACTCTCAGGCCGAATCGACAATTTCCGCGGCGGCATGGACAGCAGGTCCTGTCCAAAGGGGACAGAAGCTGGAGTCGGTCCTCGTCCCCATTCTTTTCGTGCCCATGCCGGCCCTGTCAAACCTTCCGGCTCTGTGGGCACGGCCGGGAACTACTGGTCAGAAGATGAACGGAAACCACCGCAACCGAGAGTCCACTGGGGAGCGGCCGGCCCTTGGGCAACTGGACGCCCGAGCGTCACTCAGTACACAACGACGCGCAGACGTGTCACCGCTCAGGGGCGCCCCCCCTCCCCCGATGGGTTTTCTCCCTGGCGGTGGATCATGTTTCCCCTCTGAGCTGGGGAGAGGCATCGCCGACAGATTGGCGAGACGTCTTCGACAGCAACTCCGCACCTTCCTGGGCGGCGTCCTGCTATCAGGAGGGGGTCGATGCGCTCCCCCCGAGCCGATCTCCCCCCCAACTTCCTGAAGTAGGCAGGAGAACAAACAACGGCATACATGAGCACGTTTGGAGGTCCGCGCGAATTTCTGGCAGCTGCACAGGATCCCCACGCTGGCGCGCGGAGCGCGCCAAGGACGGCGCTGGAGGCTCCGCAAGGGGGACCCGGCGCCGATCCGATCCAAGAAGCCCGCGCAGAACTCCAAACGAGTCTGTCCGTGTCCTTCTCTCTCATTCTTGGCGGCTTGCGGAGGGGGGGTAGGATGAGGAGGGAAGGCTTCTTGGAAGCAGGGGTGCTTCTAAGAAGCCTTCCCCCCTCCCCCTGCCCCCATCTGCGCGTGGCCGGCCTTCTGCGAACGCTGCCCCTGAGGGGGGGGCAGGGAGGATCGCGAGCCTCCAGACGAGATGAGGTAGCGCCACTGGAACTCGCTCAGGAACATGACGTACCTCGGCCGGCCCACCAAGATCCCCAGCTGGGGCCCAGACGCACCAGCTCTTCGAGCTGCGGCCGCGGCCGTGGCGAAGAGGTACGTAGACGAAGCCAGCACGCGGACAAGACCGGGCAGCATGAAGCGAGAATCTCTGAGACCTGGCGGCTCTGGCGGATGCCTCGGGCGGCGCGGCCATCTCGGAGCGTTCTGGAATGGCTCTGGGATGGATCTGTCCTCGTTCTGGCCCCGTCCGATGCTTCGAGCTGCGTCCGGCCGTGCCAGAGAGGGCCCCCCACGGCCACGACGTCTCGAGCCTGGAAGCTCGAGGTCCCAATCTCGACGTGACCCCACTCGGGAGCGGCCAAGAGGGGGGTGTCCACGAGGGGGGGGTACAAACCATGACCGGCGGCATGTGCGCGGCCCAGCGGAGGGGCCAGGGACGTAAGGAAATAAGAAGAGGCGCCATGAAACCTGGGGAACTATGATGGCCCCCGCCGTGATATCCACCTCCCCTCGTCGTCACCCCCCTCTTTTCCGCCCCCGACCCTCGACCTGGCCATCGCTCGGACGTCCATTCCCTGTGCTTTTTTCGGGTTCGTGCGTGGCTTCTTCGCCACATGATCAAGAATGCTCCTCGATGGTCCTCGCCGAAGGAAAAACGCACACGTCCGAGCGATGCCAAGCGACGTGACCCCACCGCGGAGGTACGAATTCGGGGAGGGCCGGTCCGTGCGGAGGGTGACCTCGAAGCTCGCGCTCGGGCCGAGGCCGACGGGCCCGCTGAGCATCGTCCAGCGGTGCGTCAGGGTGCCCTCGCCGGGGCCGGCCGGCATCTCGCATCGGCAGGCCGGGTCGGGTCGGGGCGCGCATCGAGCCGCCAGAGGTTAGGAAGCCACTCCTGGGAAATCTTCGTCAAAACGATTTGTTGCTTGTTGTTGGTCGTTTCTAAAAGATGATTGTCAGAACGAATAAAATCCACCAGTAAGCCCGATGAATTGGTCATTGAGCTGTGTCGGGCAGGATTAGGCCCAGGATTCCGCCAAAGTAAACGAGGTTTAGCTGGATCACGAAGGGACTGAGCCAGAATCAGCGGGATGAAACCACATGAGGCTAGTTCTCGATTTCCGACCAGGGATGTACCGGCGCCGATTCTGAATTGAACCTGCCAGGAGTTGCATCCTGAAGGAGGGCAAGAGAACCATCACGACAGGCGAACATACATATCCAGCAGTCTCGATTCCAGGGCGCGCTCCCGCGGATTGTTTCAATGCGCGCCCCGAGAGGTCCCGACCACCTTCCCAGGGGCAATTCTTCGCCCTGGCTAAACTTTTGATTGTCTGGAGGCCCAGATGCGAGCCCCACTGACAGACATCTAAGAAAAAAGCCCATGTTGAAACACACGTCGGAGGTCGAACCTCATGTCAAAATTGGTCCTCGGACCCCTTCCTGGGTCAGGACTGGCCAAATGTTCGGGACACGTCCACCCATGGGCACGGAGGGGGGCCTGTGAGGGTCCACCGAGGCCCACAACAAACATTAACCTTACGTCGTGACTTTTATCGAGTAGGGATGGACTACAGGTTTGATTATCCCAAGCATTACTGTTCTCCGTCGCATCCACGACAAATATGCAGCGCCCTGTGAATATACAGAACATTCGACGCATGTTTTCCCAGATCCCACGGAAGAAAGTAGTTCTGGGGTGAACCATGTGTGTAGTCGATCCCCTACTCGATTTTGACAGCTCGAGGATGTCATTTGAGCAGGGGCCGACCGTCCTGGCATTCATATAGTCCTACCCCGAAATGTTCTTAGAACCCAAAGGTGTTCTAATAACACAAACAATGTTCTCAGAACATGAACCTGACGAGTTAATGCAAGACAGACTCCGCCAGAAATGTTCTAAGAACAGTTCGTGGAAACCACAAGAGGTTCTTAGAACACTGTTTGGTAGGGCTATAGGCACGCCAGGACGCTTTGCCACTGCTTGAGTCATGGTGGAACCTTTGGACGCCCGAAATGGGTATGGAAAAATGGGTACAATGCCCAACAACAAATGTTGCCCCAAACCAACTGCGGCCGCTGTTGGGCAGGCGGCCTTCTATCTCAAATGGGCACAGGCCGCGGAGGCGCGGACAGCGAGTCCTGTTCAAGATGAACAGGAACTGCTGTTGGGCATTGTGCCCATTCTTTCCGTACCCACTACTTTCGTGCAGAGAGGAGGAGGAAGAGGAGGAGGAGGAGGAAGAGGAGGAGGAGGAGGAAAAGGAGGAGGAGGAGGAGGACGGGAGGAGGACGGGGAGGAGGAGGAGGAGGAGAGGAGGAGGTGGAGGAGGAGGAGAGGAGGAGGAGGAGGAGGGAGGAGGGAGGAGGGAGGAGGAGGAGGAGGAGGAGGAGGAGGGGGAGGAGGGAGGAGGAGGAGGAGGAGGAGGAGGAGGAAGAGGAGCGGGAGGTGGAGCCTCGTCCACAGTCTTCCCCATGGCTCGCACGCGGAGGTGCCCCGCGAGGGCCCCGCCGGCGGCCAGCAGCGTCCAGTGGCGCAGCCGGGAGGCGGCGCCGCCAGGCGGACGCATGGCGGCCGACCCTGACTCGGGATCCGCCGTAGTCTGCAAGCGATGCCAAGAGGCACGGCGAACGTTAGGGGAGCGAAGAATGATAGAAGCATCAAAACTCGGAGGTCCGCGGCGGATGTCTCGGGTCGGCGCTGGACCCCCCTCCCTGGAGCTCGGAGCGCGCCAGGGGCGGCGCCAGGGGGGTCCAGCGCGGATCCGAGAAGTCCGCGCGGACCTCCGATATCTTATGTTTATGTCATTCGTCGTTGCCCTAACGTTCTTCATTCCCCTAACGTTTATGTCATTCGTCGTTCCCCTAACGTTCTTCGTTCCCCTAACGTTTATGTCATTCTTCGTTCCCCTATACATGTCCGCCTCACATCGCAATCAGCGGCGAGCCCGGGGACGGCATGAGAAGTACCGGGCCTTCTCAGAAGGCTCGGAGGCCCCGCGGTCTTCCGAGAGAATGTTTCTGAGCCTCCCCGAAGACACGGCACGCTTCGCAGAAGGTCGGAGGGCTTCGGAGAAGCCGCGCCGCCTTCAGCGAAGGCCTTCTCCTTCTCACTCCCCGCCCTCGCTCGCCGCCGAAAACGAAACGGCGAACCTGCCCGCCTCAGGGCACCAGGGCGGATGTCTCCGCGAAGGTTTGGCGGAAACAGCGACGGCAAGCTAGGGCAGAAATCGACCACCAAGGCGCTGGAAAAGTACTAGGGAAACGAACTCTATACACCGACGCTTTTTCCGACCCTGCGCTGAAGTTCGCACAGGAACGCGGATCCTGGTGTATACGGGATCCTGGTGTATACATGTTCCCTTGTTTCCCCGCGAAAGCGGGGAACAAATATACACACCAGACCACCCCGACGTCGCCCCCGACCCTCGAAGAGTCGTGGGACTGAAAAACGGCCCGCCACTGGTCATGTATATGTTGGCGGTGGGCAAACCTCCCTTTAATACACCTCCCTTTAGGGAAAACGACCTAGGACCGAAACCCACGGACCTGGACCCGCAAACATGACGGCCGAGACGCCCTCTCGCGAACCGAAAACGGCCAAGTCCTTAATCGACGTGTCAGGGTAGGAGGTCTGTCCACCTCCGAATATGCTCCAGTTTCCGAAGTAGGACGAAAACTGCGGATCCGGAGTCAGCCGAGCGCGGGCGCGCGCGCGCCGGGTGCCTGCAGCAGCCCGGGCGCGCGCCTTGGGCCCGCGGGCGCCTGTGTCTGGTCGTGAAGCCAGTCCTGGAGGCCTCGGGCGGATCGTCGGCTTTTCGGCCACTGACATACCCGCGCTGATGCTGACTTGGCTCGGCCCGAGCGCCCTGGCTGGAGGGCGCGGCACTGCGAGTGCAATGCATGTGTTCGTTGTTCTCTCTCTCTCTCTCTCTTCTCCTCCTCCTCCTCCTCCTCCTCCTCCTCCTCCTCCTCCTCATCCTCCTTCCTCCTCCTCCTCCTCCTCCTCCCCCTCCTCCTCCTCCTCCTCTCCTCCTCCTCTCCTCCTCCTCCTCCTCCTCCTCCTCCTCCTCCTCCTCCTCCTCCTCCTCCTCCGATCATCGGCTTTTCGGCCCAGGAGATGCTCCCTGTAGCCAGGGGTGGCTCAGGAGGCCCAGGAGGCCCCGAAGAGGGCCGGAGAAGCCCCCCCAGACTCTCCAGAGATGGCCAGGAAGCGGCTCCGCAACCCCCATGGCTGTTTCTTGCCGTCGCTCGGACGTCCATTTCCCGTGCATGTTTCGGTTTTGTGCGTGTGTTTTTCCTCGATGGTCCAGGATGCTCCTCGATGGCCCTCGCCGAAAAAAATGCACACGTCCGAGCGATGCCAGGGCTTCGTTATGAGGAAAACCCTGGAGGCCTCGCGCGGCAGCTTGAAGCCCAATTTACGTCGGATCCAGATCGGCTGTACGTCGTGTTCACGTCAGATTGCGCTGAACTTACGTCGGATTCACGTCGGACTTGCGCCAGAACGTCGCCGCGCGAACGCCGACCCATCTCTGACGGAGCGGACGTGTGGACTGGATATTGGCGGCGCGCACAAGGGGGTGGAGGGAGGGGGGAGGGCTTCTTAGAAGGAGGCTGCTTCTTAGAAGGCGCCGGCCTTACATCTACAGACAAGGCCCGCGCCTTCTAAGAAGCAGGCGTGCTTCTAAGAAGCCTTCCCCCCTCCCCCTACCCCCCTCTGCGCGTGGCCGAAGATCACACAACTACTGCGCGCCGTGCGAGGCCTCCCGGATTTTCCCCGAGGTCCCGGGTCGGCTTCCTCTCTCGGCCGCCAACAACAGATACTTGGCGGCCCCGGGGCCCACGCCGGGCCCCGGGGCCGTCAAGAAACGACTCGGGGTGATAAGCCGGCTCGGGCAAGTGGGTCGAGGCGTGCAGGGGTCGACGCTGCGGCAAAAGCGTGGCGCTGGGGGTCTACTTTTTTTCTTCCGCCCTCCAGGTCGGGGTTGCTGGGTTTATCCTGACGAGCTCCAGAACCCACCTCGCACACTCTGCACACCGCGGCCGTCCAACCCAAAATGTGTCGGTGCTCCCTGGGCGCCCCGCAGCGTGTCTTCGACGCATGGCGACTGCATACCGCGGCCGCCAGGCTCAGAGTGTGCAGGCGCTCCCCGGGCAGCCCGCCTCGCGTTCTTCGGCGGGGATCGACCGAAGCAGAATGTGCTCCCCCCCAGCGCCACGCGGATCTGACCAAAACGTGAATCCGAAGGTCGCCAGGCGATCCCAGAAGGCCACGCGAGCCGACCTGCGACGGAGAAGCGAGTTCATGTGGAGAACGCTGGCATGGGAGAGAATGAAGGGGCCCTGGGACACACAAATGAACACACACACACACAAATGTCAGGATTCCCTATATTTTCTCATATTTTCTGGGTTTATGTCTTCCCCCCCACTGCCCATATTTTCCAATATTTTCTGGGGAATCGACGATTAATTGTCTGTGTGTTTCTTCTCCTCCCGAGAGAAGCGCGGGAGCGTACGCGTAGGGCGTAGGAGCCAAAGGGTCTGGCCTTCCCGCTGGCAAGCACCAACAAAACGACACCACGACGCGCACGGACAGAACAGGACAAAAACACGATCGCCATCCACCGCTACCCCACCGTGGGAATCATAGCTGCCTTGAAAAAATGGAGGTGCTGAATCTGCGAATCACCGCTCGGGCGAGAGCACGCGATCCCGCCGGGTGGAAAGCTGGGGAGGCCTCTGGCCCCGAGAGGGACGCGCAAGGACTTCTCACGGAGAAGGAGGAAGGGGGGAAAGGAGGAGAAAGATGACCCGTCGGAGTGGGGCAGCATCGGAGGTCGCCAGCAGAGCCGCGCGAATACGCAAGCCGTATCCGCACGAGCAGGATGCCGGCCCAGGGCCCAGGGCTGTCCAGGGGCGTCCAAGATTGAAGGGGCCCAGGGACACACAAATAAATTCACACAAATCACAATATTTTCGCATATGTTCTCATATGTTCTGGGTTTTTGTCTTCCCCGCCACTTCCCATAGTTTCCCATCTTTTCTGGGGAATCGACGATTAATTGTGTCTGTGTGTTTTTTCCCCTTCTGACCAAGATACCTCCCATGGGTTTGCAGGGCACCCCAGGAGGAAGAGCGCGGCAGGCCCAGAGGTCGCGGCCAGCGGGCAGTTCCCTGGCAGGAGCGGCCCGACCGACTCGTGCAGATCTCAGAGGATGCCATGACGTGATCCCCGCCCAAGGCTCGGGCGCTGGCAAAGTTCCACCAGACCTCTGGGCGTAGGTGGCTTAGCGAATTTTGATATTTTCTGTCTGCCGGATCTCCATTCTTCCGCTGCTCGAGGGAAGGGTCCATCATTGTTCCTCATTGATATACACCCCCTCCCCCAGGCGACCGGCGGCCTACAAGGGACCATGCTCCCCACCCCACCCCACCATCCCTGTCAACAAAACAATACAAAACGCACTCTGCCTCCACATTTGGAGCATGCGCGGCCAAACCGATACGCCCCCCACCACCATCCCTGTCAAAAAACAATATAAGTACACTTTGGGGCAAAATCTTGAATCATGTTTGTGAGGCTCGCGAGAACTTTGTATTGTTTTTGACAGGGGCGGCGGGGATGTCAGCATATTGCCTGCTGTGCGCAGGGCTACCGTCCCTGACAAACAAATAATACAACATGCATCTCGCGGTAAATCTGAATATATAATGTGCGGCCACCCCGCGATCACTGTCACGTGGTTTTTGACAGGGACGGCAGGGGTGGTGGCGTATGGCCTGCTGCGCGCAGCCCACCAGACACAATGATGGACATTGGTTTTAGACAGTGATGGTGGGGGCCAACATGTTTGCCGATGTGTGCTGTCACGTGCGCAAGCGCACCTGACACACTCTGCACGTGCCCCGAACGTGGCGCACCTGCCGCAGCTGGAGTATGCGGCACACCTGGCGCACGCGGAGCACGTGGCGCATTTGGCGCACACGGCGTGCCTGGCACGCTCGCGCCCCGGGGGTTCCTGGCGTGCGTGGCGCGCCTGGCATGCGTGGCGCACCTCGCCCCAGCGTCGCGCACATGGGGTCGGTTCTGGTTCCGAATAGCTGCCCATCTAAAGACGACCGCTGAACATGTTCAGGCTCGCGTGTCGCTGATATGTTGGGAGGGCGGGTGGGAGTGAGCTAGACGACTTGCTATCTAGGGGGCGTATTGATCACTGTTCCCTATTAACAAACACCCCCTCCCCCAGGCGACTGGGGGCCAACCTGGGTCCATGACTGCCACTGTGACTGTGGCGATCATGACATTCATGACACTCAACCAGGGTCCATGACACCCCCCCACCATGCCTAGTAAAAAACAATACAAAACACACTCTGCCTCCAAATTCGGACCACGCGCAGCCAACCCGATGCGCACCCCCCCCCACCCACCATCCCTGTCAAGCAACAGTAAAGAGCACACTTGGCGGCGGCGGCGGCTGCGGCGGCTGCGGCGGCGGTGGCGGCGGCGGGGGCGGCGGGGGCGGCTGCGGCGGCGGCGGCGGGGGCGGCGGCGGCGGCGGCGGCGGTTTGGCAGCGGGGGGCGGCGGCGGCGGCGGCAGCGGCGGCGGCGGCGGCGGCGGCGGATTGGCCCCCAGTAGCGCCCATCCAAAGACGACTGCTGAATATGCTGCGGCTCGGGCCAGACTCGGGTGCTACGTATGTGTTGGAAGGGCGGGTGGGGGTGAGCGAGACGGCTAGCGGGCGGGGAGGGGGTAGCTTGACCCCTCCCCTCCCCCTCCCCTGGGCCTGAAAGGGGCGCCCCGCGAGGGGTTTGAGCGTCCAAGATGGCCCAAGATGGCTCCCAGAGAGCCTATGAGAACGCAAAATGGCATCCAAAATTGCTCCAGATAGCTCCGGATGGTCAAGACAAGTGCCATTCGACCCCTTCAAGGACCCCCCCGATAGGCGTAAATGGCTCCACCACCCAAGTAACATCAATCTGATTTTCCGATTCGCCTTTTCGCTTCCGATAGGCTCTTGGGGCCTCTACATGGCCCCAAGACCGCCCAACAGAGCCGCAAGAGGGGCTCAGGAAAGCCCCAAAATAATCCCAAGGCAGAACCAAGAGCGCCCAAAGAGTGCCCCAAGAGGGCCTTAAGTCGCCATTTTGAGCCTCCCAGGGGGGGGGCCTGAATTTCCAACCCCGCCCCTCTTTTAGAATCATGGGGGCCAAGGTGGCCCCAAAAGGCCCCCCAGACGCCCCCACCGAACCCCGAGAGGGCCCGAAGAAGGCCTCAAGAAAACCCCAAGAGGGCCAGAAGAGTGCCCCAAGAAGCCTCCGCGAGACCTCCGAGAAAACGCTTTCAAGGCGGTTACAACCCTGCACTCTTCTACTCTTCCCTGCTCAAGGCAAGTCGCTCGGCGATCTACTTCTGGATGGGTTGGTGGGGGTACTTGTTGTAGTCAGCGGCCGCGGGCGAGCGCGCCGGCGGCGAGTCAGGTCAAAGCGGGCTACGCAGACACAAATTAGGCAGAGCAAGGCTGGTTGGGGGAGGGTACGCGACGCGTCAAGAATTTGTATACATATCCACTGCGTATTGGAAGTCCGAGCTCCCTTCCTCACAGAACCAAAGGCGCGGTGGACGTGGATGAATACTTGGCCCCTGAGCTAGAACTCCACTGCGCCTCGGCTTTCTGGCGCCCCTTCCCAGAAAGCCCACGGCGCACGGGGACGTCCGAGCCTGAGCCGAGGATTGAAGCACACACCCTCCAGCATCTGGCCACGGAGGCCCACGGGCACACCGACCTTGAGGCCCGGGACGTGCGCGCGGCACGCCTCGCCACCTCGGAGCGGACCGACGGCCCGAGGACCTCGAACAAAAAACAGCATGCTGAACTCCCGGTGGACGAGAAGCCGCCGCCTGGCCATCGCTCGGACGTCCATTCCCTGTGCTTTTTGTCGGTTTCGTCCGTGGTTTGTTTCGCAGGATGATCCATGATGCTCCTCAATGATCCTCGCCGAAGGAAACATGCACACGTCCGAGCGATACCAAGCACCACCACCACCGACCACCGAGATCGGGACCATCTTCCCTCGGTGGAGGCAGCCCCGCCAGTATTGGTGATGGTGTCAACCTCTAGGCCTCCTCCTCCTCCTCCTCCACTTCCTCCTCCTCCTCCTCCTCATCCTCCTCCTCCTCCTCCTCCTCCCCCTCCTCCTCCCCTCCCCCTCCTCCTCCTCCTCACTCCTCCTCCCTCCTCCTCCTCCTCCTTCCTCCTCCTCCTCCTCCTCCCTCCTCCACCTCCTGCTCCTCCTCCTCCTCCTCCTCCTCCCCTCCTCTCTCCTCTCTCCTCCTCCTCCCTCCTCCTCCCTCTCTCCTCCTCCCCCTCCTTCCTCCTCCCTCCTCCTCCTCTCCTCCTCCTCCTCCTCCTCCTCCTCTCCTCCTCCTCCTCCCTCCTCCCTCCTCCTCCCTCCTCCTCCTCCTCCCCTCCCCTCCCCCTCCTCCTCCTCCTCCTCCTCCTCCTCCTCCTCCTCCTCCTCCTCCTCCTCCTCCTCCTCCACTTCCTCCTCCTCCTCCTCCTCCTCCTCCTCCTCCTCCTCCTCCTCCTCCTCCTCCTCGCCGCAGGAAGAATGCACACGTCCGAGCGATGCCAAGCCGCCCTCACCCGCGCCGCACGCGAGGGCATCTCCAGCGCCCGGGGGGGCCCAGGCTGCGCCCGGCCAGCATCGGCGAGGGGGCCGGGGGCCGAGAGGTGCCCCCCAGGGTTACGTCGGGCGTGTCCCCCTACAGGGGGATTTTCGACGAAAGTTCAAAAATACCCCAAAAACACTCCAAAACGATAAAAACAAAAACAAAAAACAAAAAAAAAAAAATCCCGGCAAAGCAACCTAACAGCGATATGTAGAAGCATATCTGAAAGCATTCCCCTTAAGATTCAGATGAAAATCCAATTGTAGAATTCTGCTGTTCTCGCAGTCGTAGTCGCATTCGCGATGACAGTCGCAGCGGCAACGGCAGTCGCAGTCACAGCCTCAGCCTCAGCCTGCCTCAGCCTCAGCCTCAGCCTGCCTCAGCCTCAGCCTGCCTCAGCCTCAGCCTCAGCCTGCTTCAGCCTCAGCCTCAGTCTGCCTTCAGCCTCGGCCTCAGCCTCAGCCTGCCTCAGCCTCAGCCTGCATCAGCCTCAGCCTCAGCCTCAGCCTGCCTCAGCATCAGCCTGCTTCAGCCTCAGCCTCAGCCTGCCTCAGCCTCAGCCTCAGTCTGCTTCAGCCTCAGCCTCAGTCTGCCTTCAGCCTCGGCCTCAGCCTCAGCCTGCCTCAGCCTCAGCCTGCCTCGGCCGCAGCATCAGCCTGCCTCAGCATTCAAAATGTGGCCCAGGAATGGAGTTCTGGGAACTAGAAGAACACGAAGTGGCCTACAGTTGGCTCCGGGCATTCAAAATCATGCCCAGGAATGGAGTTCTGGGAACTTGAAGAGCACGAAGTGGCCTACAGTTGGCTCCGGGCATCCAAAATGTGGCCCGGGAATGGAGTTCTGGGAATCGAAGAGCACGAAGTGGCCTACAGTTGGCTCCGGGCATCCAAAATGTGGCCCGGGAATGGAGTTCTGGGAAGTCGAAGAGCACGAAGTGGCCTACAGTTGGCTCCGGGCATCCAAAATGTGGCCCGGGAATGGAGTTCTGGGAGCACCAAGAGCGATTTTGCGAGGATGTCCCAAGCGATTTCGGCTTCGGCGGCAGCCTCGGCGGCAGCCTGTCCGGGTCCCGCCCAGACCCCCCTGAGGAGTCATGATGCTCTCTTTTGAGACCACTAGAAACCTATCAGCAAGAGCTGTTAGGTAATATGCAAAAGATAGTCCCCAGACTATTTGTTTGACTGATCTTCAGTATTCCCCCTGTAAAGGGACACGTCCGACTGAACGCCAGGGGCAGGCATCCGACGCTGCGACCTTTGCCATGCGCGGCGGCTTTGGACACCGCGTGGATCGTTCGACTTCGAACGATCGCGGCTGTCCAATCGCGCGGATAACGAGTTCGACGTCTGCGGCTCGGGGCCACTGGCGGCGTCCCCGCGCTGGGGTCGCCGCGCCAAAGCCGCCGCCGCGTCGACGCGACGCAGGCCTGCTGTACGCCCAGGCAATCCCCTGCCCCAGGCCTAGGTACAAGACTCTGCCACCAAAACGAATGCAGGATTAGGGCCAACACAGATGAGGATGAAACGGGGATCTCCGAGACCTGGCCGGTCTGGAGAACGTATCGGACGCCGCGGTGGCCCAGCCTGGTGATCTCTTTTTGGGATGTCTCCGGGGCGCTTGAGCGAAGCTTGAAGCATGCGTTCCAACCACGCCGGAACCACGCCCGAGTCACGCCAGGACCAGACCAGAACCACGTGGCCAGAACCAAACCAGAACCACGCCACAACCACGTGGCCAAGAACAACAAAAGAACCACACCAAAACCACGCCCGAACCACGCCAGAACCACGCCCGAATCGACCCGCCAGAACCACGCCGCGACCCACGCCGAGGCTCTGGTGTGGTCATGGCGTGGTTCTGCCGCGGTTCTGGCGTGGTTCTGGCGTGGTTCAGAGCGTGGTTCGGGGCGTAGTTCTGGCGTGGTTCTGGTGTCGTTCTGGATTCTGGTGTGGTTCTGGCGTGGTTCCGGCGCGGCTCGTGGTTCAAACCGCCCAGGACCCAGGAGGCCCCGCTCAGCTCAACTCATCCTAGGCCTGCCTGACTAACACCAACCTCCGCAGCCCAAATCCCAGGATGCTTCGAACCCCCTCGAAACCCAGCGCGGGCAGCCCGCGCGGGTAACGTATGTGCCAGACAGACCCGCCCGGACCCACCGGGCGAATCTGTGGGTCCACTCCTCTGGAACCGCACGGGAAGCCGAGGTTCCCAGGAGGGAGCCTGGACCCGTGGGTGCCATGCGGTGGGTCGGGTCCACCCGCCAGACATCCGACGTCGTGGCAACGCTGCTCCCAAGAGATCTGGACCTCTATTCGGGAGCGTCAAAGAGGGGGGCGTCAAAGAGGGGGGGGGGTGCAAATCATGACCGGCGGCACGTGCGCGGCCCAGCGGGGGGGCCAGGAACGTGATGAAATAAGAAGGGGCGCCATGAAATCTGGGGAAATATCATGGCCCCCGCCATGATACCCACCCACCCCTAGTCATCACCCCCCTCTTTTCCGCCCCCGACTCTATCGGGGGCGGGTTTCTCAATGTGGGTCTATTTTGGACGGCCCTGGGGCTTGGTACGGCCCCCAGGGGCCGAAAAAACAACAGAGAACCTTCGCTCGGGAGTTGTTACATGACGCGAGCATGGCGCCAGAGCCCCCTGGCGGCGCCTCCGACGCCGCCCCTGGCGGCGCTCCGCGCGCCAGGGAGGGGGCTCCAGCGCCGATCCAAGAAATCCGCGCGGGCCTCCCGCAGTTTCTGTCCATGCTGTTTCATTTTCTTCTTCTTCTGCTCATGCTGTTTCTTCTTCTTCTTTGAGCTCTCGCGGCCACCACCTCCGCTGGGGGCGGGGCGGGCGCCCCCCGCCTTGCTGAAGGCCATGAACACCCTCGTGCCGGTCCGCGGCGCGGGGGCTGGGGGCGGCACTGGCCGGAACTCCTCGGCGCCGCCGGCGCTCCCGCTGGCCGCCGCCGCATGGCGCCGCGCGCCACTGGCGCCACGGTCGTCGTGGCAGTGGTCGTGGTCGTGGTCGTCGTCGTCGTGGTCGTCGTCGGTCGTCGCCGTGGTCGTCGTCGTCGTCGTGGTCGTCGTCGTCGCCGCCGTCGTCGTCGTGGTCGTCGTGGTCGTCGTGGTCGTCGTCGACGTGGTCGTCAACGTCGTGGTCGTCGTCGTCGTCGTCGTCGTCGTCGTGGTCATGGTCGTCGCCGTCGCCATCGTCGTCGTCGTAGTCCTCCGCGTCGAGTTTGGGGAACTCGCGTAGTTGCCTGACAAGGGCCATTCAACAAAATTACGCGACATGGACCTAGCCTGAAATTTGGCGTGCATTCATACGGTCGGACCCAGGACAGAACGCCCTGCGTGAGACCCTCCGCTGGCCAAACACAAACATAAGTAAGATCATCGAGGGTTATCTCGTGCACAAGAACATGTAGCAGACACGAAGATTCTGAACGGCCAGAATCATCCGGCGAAGCTCTGGCAGTGGGGATGACACATCGCCTGCGAGAGGTGCCAGCAGGAGAAGGGAGCACGAACAGAACATTCTTGCGTACGTGAACATACATGTTCGGAGACCCGCGCGGATTTCTTGGCTCGGCGCCGAATCCCCCCTCCTCTGGAAGCGCCGCAGGGGCAGCGCTGGAGGCGCCGCCAGGGTGCCGATCGAAGGAATCCGCGGCGGCCTGCGGAAATTCATGCGCATGCGGGTTTCCTTCGGGAAGGATGTGGGAGAACGTTCGCCGGGGGGCGGCGAAAGGCAGGGTTGAGAACCAGCTCACGTAGCTGGTTTTCCTGGCACCTCCTGGCGCCGGGAGGCGCCCATGCACACGGGAGTGGGCCCAGAGGCGGGGCCGAATCCGGCTGCATGCAGCAGGCTTCGTACCCCCGCCCCTTTCTCCATCCTACCCCTTCGTCCAGCCCCCTTCGTCCTACCAGTTGAGGGAGGAGGGAAGAGGAAGGTGGGACGAGGAGGAGGGCGACGCAGGAATAACCAGGAGGAGGGCGGAGGAGGAGGAGGAGGAGGAGGAGGAGGAGGAGGAGGAGGAGGAGGAGGTGTGTTGCCTCGACTCAGAGGGGAGGAACGTTCAGCTTGAATCGGCAGCACACAGAGCCGATGGATCGGCAAAAGGCCCCCGCTGGAGAAACCGCAAGGTGCTGGGCAGGGTGTGCCATCGGGCCCCTATCAGGAAGCAATAAGTCAATGGGCGATTTGGGGGTCGGTGCATCCTCCCCTGAGTCGATCCCCCCCCCTCCAGTCAGAGGAATCACCAACTGCAGACACATACAATTTCGGACGCCCGCGCGGATTCATCGGGTCGGCGCTGGACCCCCATCCCTGGACCGCGGAGCGCGCGCCAGCGGCGCCAGAAGGGCCGCGGCGACTGGTGTCCAGCGCTGGTCCAAGCAATCCGCGCGGACAGCCGAAGAGGCATGTTTATGGTATGGCTTCTTTTTCTTCTTCTTCTGCTTCGATCCTCCCTCCTCCATTATCCTCCTCCTCCTCCTCCTCCTCCTTCTCCTCCTCCTCCTCCCTCCTGGATCCTCCTCCTCATCGATCCCTCCTCGATCCTCTCCTCCTGCTCCACTTTCTCATCCTCACTCCTCCTTCCTCCCTCCTCCTCCTCCTTCTCCTCCTTCTCCACCTCCTCCTCCTCCTCGTGCCTTCTCCTCCTCGATGCTCCGCTTTCTCTTCCTACATAGCCTATCCCCCTCTGGCCCGCGGGGAGGGCGCAGGAATAGGGATCACGAGGAGCTCTGTGAGAGGTCCGTTCCCCCTTCGGAGGCAACTCCTGGGTTGGAACGATGAAAGGCCATGAAACCCCAAAAATGTGAGACGAAGCCAGGACCGTCAGGCCAGGGCCAGTAAGGCAAGGCCTGACTGACCGGGGTCAATACACACCCGCGTCAGTCAGGTCTTGCAGGATCCTGCAGGATCCTGTGAGATCCTGCGCGCAAGCCCGAGTCCATGCACCCCTGACTCTGCAAAATCCCACAAGATCCCGCGCTCTGGTTGATCCCCGTTTGCATTAACCCCCGTCTCTTATAGTAAGACGAAGCCAGGACGAGGAAACATCGGGTAAGGAAAATCGAGAATCTCTGAGATCCGAAGGCGTTGCAGGGTGTCTCGGTCGCCGCGACCTTCTAAGAGCGTTCTGGGACGCTCTGGAACGGATTTATCCTCGTCCTAGACCAGTCCTATAAAAGGCGAAGCCCAATTAAGGGGCCATCGAGCCAGATTAGGCCCGATCAGGCCTGGGATTGAGCCAGACCAAGCGGGATTTGATCAAACGGGACTGTAACGGATGGCACGAGACTGAGCCAGGGGATCAAGGATACCACCGGCGCCAATTCTGAAATTAGCCACCCAGAAAGTAGGCAGCCCACAGAGGATGTACGCGCCCAACCGCATGCATGCATACGGCCCCCCAGTCCGCGAGACCAACCTTGTGATACGAGCGCTCACGAAATGCGTACCCTCAGAGCAAGCGTGGATTCGCGTTCGCGTGCGTCCTACCTTCGCTCCTGAAGGAGCTGCATCCTAACCTGGAGGCCTCTCAGATGGGGTCGGACTAGTTGGGGTCGGAGGATCGCGTCTCATTGGCGATGCATCGCCGATGCATCGGCGACACCGCCGTGGAGAGAATCGTGGCGACGAGGGCCTCCCAGCACGCCAACAAGAATTGGAAAACGAGGCAAGAGTAATGGCTGTGGTACCTTGGATCCTCCTCCCTCGACCACTTCCCCCCAGTACCGGCTCCTCATCCTGAGTCGTTTGCGCACGGTCCCATGGCTCAGTGTTCTTTGTTTCCTCGACCACCCTCGGGCCGGGCGAAAGGGGGGGAAAGCAAAGGGGGGGGGTTAAGAATCAGCTGCCGTAGCTGATTTCCCCGGCGCCTCCCGGCGCCGGGAGGCGCCCATGTATTTCGAGGAATGGGCCCGGCCGCGGGGCCGAAACCAGCTGCATGCAGCAGACTTCGTACCCCCCCCCCCCCTTTCCCTCTTCCCCCCCTTTCGTTCGGCCCGACACCCCCCCGAGAGCGCGAGATTCTGCTCGCCCGACCCCCCCCGCGTCCACGGCCACGCTGCGACTGTCGCCGCGCAGCGCCGCCAGCCCGGCCTTGGCGCCAGGGCCTCGCCCGGCCCGCTGCCGACGGGGCGCCACGGTGCCCCCCCCCCCGCCCCGCCTGAGCCCCAGGAATGCTCGCGCCGTCGCAAGAGGCTCGACGGAATCGGCGGCGGCCTTCTGCGGAGTGCCCCGAAGACATAGAAAACTTGTCGGAGGGCACGGGGTTTCTGAGAGGCCTCGCCGCCTTCTGAGAGGGTCTTCTCCCTCTCCTTCTCACTTCGTCCCATTGCTGCCCGCCGAATAAATCACGGCGGACGGATTCTGGCCGCTTTCGGCACGGGGATCAACGGGCCAGGGTCAATGCAAACCTGGGTCAGTCAAGCTTCGCAGGATCATGCAAGATCTTGCGAATTCTGCAGGATCCTGCGTGCTAGCCGGGGTCAATGCACCCCTGGTTTTGTAGCATCGTCTCACCGTAACTGAAGGTGCCATGGGCACACAAACTAGTAAACACAAGTTCCAGGGTTACCAATGTTTGCAAAAGTTCCTCGATGATGTTGGTTCATCTACACTTCACACATTCCCCAAAAAAGGAGACAGACGATTGTTTGTGTCTGAGTATCTGTCCTCTGCCTAAGTAACAGAAATCACGACGGAAGGTTGCTGGCCGTTTGCGGGTTCATGAGGGACCTTGCGGGGTAAATTAACGCGGGCGTCGCGTAATGGGGGTGCGATCAAGGAACGGGGGTGCGAGGCGGGGGTTTATCCATATCCACCACCTGGGAATCGACGCCCTGGTGCCCCAGCGGGCGGTGGATATGGATATATTTCGGCCCCCAGGGGGCCGAATATGTCCATATCCACCGCCTGCCGAGGCTCCGAAAACTGACCCTCCAGGCGGTGGATAAGAGAAATTCCCGCCTCGGAGGGGGGAGGAAACGTGCACCTGCTGTGCCCTGAAGGGACACTCAGGGGCCCGAAAAGGGCACGATAGGCGCACGCTCCCCCCCTCCTTTTGTCGCCCCCCCGTGAAACAATGCGCGCGTACCGCTGCTCGCAAAGTAACTACTCGCAAATGGCCTGGACTCGCCGCGGGGGATCTACGATATATCACATCGAAGCAGACATATGTTTTCTCGGACGTTTGCGAGTAGGCACTTTGCGCATAGTGGAACGCGCTCGGCGAATGAACCAACGCCTGAATAACGACTCGGGAGCAAATGCGGGGTGAAGGGTCGGGGCTTCTTCCCGCCTTGGAAACCAGGGCACCGCATGTCTGAGGTCTGAGGCGGCGGCGGCGAGGTCCCTGAGGTCTGGACGCTGATCAGTCATCACAAAGCGCGGTGCAGAGTGGGTCCTCCTGGGGCCGTCCGGAGATCTACTAGGCACTCCCGAGGCCGCCGTGGGCCCTCCTGGAGCCTCTGGGGAGGGGGCTGAAAAATGACGACAGTTTCACGGATGGGAGCCTTTCCGTTGAGAAGGGGAGCGCGGTAAAAGGTAATAAAGTGACGACAGTGTCGCACTCGAGGCCCACAATCGTCCTTGGGCACCTCGGGCGCGAACCCCGCTCCACCACAGTACGGTGCGATTTCCCCTCCCCCCGCTGTCCCGCCGGACCCCGGGAGGGTGATCTTTGTCCTTTTTGGCTTGTAAGGAACACTTCCCCCCCCTCTCGACGGTGACGGAGGGCAGGCGGCGGGGGTGGGCGGGTTGGCGGGGTGGCGGGTTGGCTGGGGTTGGGGGATGGCTGGTTGGGTTGGTTGAGCCGGTTGAGTTGTTTGGGTGGCTGGTTGGGCTGGCTGGTTGGGCTGGCTGGGGCAATTGGTTTCGATTCCCCCTGTAGAGGGACGGGCCCGACTTAAGGTTAGCAGCACAGCAGCAGAGCCCGAGGCACGTGCGCGGACGAGGGAGGGAGGGCAGGGGACGCATGGAAAGGAGGGGCCCTGGGACGCGCAAACAAATAGACACAAGAACAGGATTCCCCATATGTTCCATATGTTCTTGGTTTTTAAGGGGGCAAACGCACCTACCTCGCTTTTGACCACCCTCGCTTCCAAGAGCTACCAAGCGATGCCAAACTACGGCACGCACTGGTAAGGCCACTCGACGGGGAGGCGCGTGGTATGACTTGGTTGTGCCTGGAAGCGAAAGCGGGGTAAGTAATTCACGCTCTGAGTTTTTGTCTTCCCCCCACCTCCCGTGTTTTCCAAGGGGGATAATTGATCAATTGTGCCTGTGTGTTGTTGCCCCCTCCTGATTGAAAAGGAGAAGACAAGGGTGCCCTGAAACCTGGGATGGTCTCATGGCCGCGGACACGATCTCCAAGTCCCCCCTGGCCCTCAAGAGCCCCTCGGAAGCCTGGTTCTCTTCGGGCCATCACTCGGATGATGTCGGGCGTGTCCCCCTACCAGGGGGATTTCCGGGGGATTTCCGACGAAACATAAAACATACCCCAAACATACCCACAAAAGGTCCAAAAATATTCAACAAATAGTCCCCAGACCAGTTTTGGACTATTTTTTGATGTTTTGTGGTATTTTTTTATTTTTCGTCGAAAATCTAACCAGCCTCGAACGTATCCCTATCCCTAAGACGGGCGAGCAAAAAGCGAGGACAATCTTAGGGATAGGCCCTCAGAAACTGAGGGAATCCTTAAGATCGGTATCGAGGTGAGGTGATGTCAAACATAGGGATAGGGATATGTTTCAAACTGGTAAAAATCCCCCTGTAGGGGGACAGGCCCGACTTCACACTCGGGCCTCCGGCAGCCCACCCCCGACGACCCGACCACCCCCTCGGAGAAACTCTCGACAGGGCGCGCGGCCGTTCGAGGGCATCCCCAGACGGGAGGGCCGCTGGAGGCCCTCGGCGGCGCGCCCGAGGGATCAGGGGGAGTGGGGAAGGCTTCTTAGAGGGGGCCCTGGGGCACACAAATAAATGCACACAAACAATCACCGGACAGCTCGCCCCTTGGCCCCCCGCCAGCCACACGCCAAGGGGCGAACATATAGACGGGCGCAGCACCGCGCTGGATGCGTAGCCGTCGGCTGGGCCAACCAAGCGAATGACGCATCGCGTGGCGGCTGGACCCCCGCGCCGAGCACAGCTCTTCTCGGTTCCTCCCTCCTCCTCCTCCTCCTCCTCCTCCTCCTCCTCCGACCCCGTGGACCCCGCGGGCTTAAAACTGCCACCGAAATATCCTCACCCGCTGGCTAAACAATACCAGCGAAATATCCTCACCCGCTGGCTTAAAACTGCTACCAGAATATCCTGACCCGCTGGCTATAAACTACCACCGAAATATCCTCACCCGCTGGCTTCAAACTGCCACCGAAATATCCCAACCCGCTGGCGTAAAACTGCCACCCAAATATCCTCACCCGCGAAACCAAAACTGCCATCGAAATATCCTCACCCGCTGGCGTAAAACTACCACCGAAATATCCTCACCCGCTGGCTTCAAACTGCCACTGAAATATCCTCACCCGCTGGCGTAAAACTGCCACCCAAATATCCTCACCCGCGAAACCAAAACTGCCACCGAAATATCCTCACCCGCTGGCGTAAAACTACCACCGAAATATCCTCACCCGCTGGCTTCAAACTGCCACTGAAATATCCTCACCCGTTGGCTTCAAACTGCCACCGAAATATCCTCACCCGCGGAAATAAAACTGCCACCGAAATATCCTCACCCGCGGAAATAAAACTGCCACCGAAATATCCATACCCGCTGGCTTAAAACTGCCACCGACATATCCTCACCCGCGGAAATAAAACTGCCATCTAACGGCCTGGTGGTTCAGTTCAGTCTGTCTGTCTACCTCGCGAGAATCAAATTACGGGCTGCGCCCGTAAAACAGATTCCCCATATTTTTCCATATGTTCTGGGTTTTGTCTTCTCCCCCAATTCCCATATGTTCCCATATCTTCTTGGGAATCTACGATTCATTGTGTCTGTGTGTTTTTTCCCCTCCTGATTCTTAGAAGGAGGCTGATTTTTCGAAGTCGTCGGCCCTATATCCGCTTACAGACAAGGCCCGCGCCTTCTGACAAGCAAGGGTGTTTCTGAGAAGCCTCCCCCCCTCCCCTATACCCCCTTCTGCCGGGGATCTACTGACTCAGGTCACTGCCAGCCCTGGTCAGTCGAGCTTTGCAGGATACTGCAAGATCCTGCAGGATCCTGCGCGCCGACTCGGGGTCAGTGCAGCCCTGGCTCTTCAGGGTCATGCAAGATCGGGCGCTCTGGCTGACCCCCGTTTGCATGTACCCCCGTCTCAATGCTCCCGACGCGTAGCCGAATGCCAGCGAGAACACCGGAAGACCTCGAGCCCGCCAAGGCAGCATCCGGAGCCCCGTTCGCCGCCGCTCCGTGCCCCACAACTCCTCGGTCTCCCTCCCGAGGGGGGGCGGCATGCTGGCCATCGGTCGGACGTTCATCCGTGCGCATTTTTGCGGCTGCGTGCGATCTTTTGTATTTTTCGCGGGATGACCCCAGATGCTCCTCGATGGTCCGAGGCAAGCATGCGCGCGTCCCGAGGCAAGCATGCACGCGTCCGAGCGATGCCACCTAAATTAGCACGGGGAAAACGGGTCCTGAGGGAAACGGGTCCCGGATCCTGGGGCCTTCCCCCAGGATGAGATCTTCATCCTGAATCGTTCTCTGACAGTCTCGGCGGTGGACAAACCTCCCTTTAGTAAACCTCCGCTTAGTGAAAGCTGCCTGGGACCGAAACCGACGGACTTGGACCCGCAAAAATGACGGCCGCGACGCCCTCTCGCGACCCGAATGCGGCCAATTCCTCAATCGACGTGTCAGGGTAGGAGGTCTGTCCACCTCCGAGCAGTCCTGGGGCCCGTGGAGCGCTCCGGGAAGCCAAAACCGCATCAAAACCTCAGGACTCGTTCCCCCCACAGGGCGCAAAAACGCCAAGAACGCAAAAAAACACGTAAAACGCATGAAAAGCGCTCCGGGGAGCCCCAAACCCCCCAAAGACCTCAGGACTCGTTCCCCCCCCCACGGCGAAGCACAGAGGGCCCCTGGCGAACACAGTGGAACTCCGTC